GCATTCCTCATCACTTCGCTGTTACGTACAGCGCCAACATTCCTGATTTGAATGCGGACGCTTTCCAGGTCACTCGGTAGAAGCGCTGCGCCTCTTATCGGTGGATTTCTAAAGCCCCTAATGAGGAGCAACTTGATAAGATCTTGCAGATGATGACAAGCTGTCTTCACCCTATACTCCACCCTAGTACTCCCTTGACTGACAGGTGGCGCCGTTGGCATGTTTCTTGCCGCTGTTAAAATGGGGTTGGCGACTCAAGACAATCGAGGTGAGAGGCCCAAGGCATCTTTTCCCGATGTGAGGCCTTGTGCCCCCGGCCAGCTGCACTTCACGGACGGCTGCTTCGTGTTCACTGTGCTGTTTCGGAGCTTGTTAGGCGAGGCCATAACGTTCACGCCCCTCTACCGCCTCACTTGTTAGGTCGTCTGGACCGGGTGCTTTTCAGCGCTTGTGGCTTGCATCCTCCCGACTCTTGCTCCGTCGAGGACGCCCTGTCGCAGCTTAACCCTGTCACTCGCAAAGAGGGTGACAAGCTTTCCCAGCAAGCCAGCAAGCAGTGGCGCCGCCACTTCACTGACTTTAGTCGCGAAGCTTGGCATGCTGCTAAACAAGCCTGGAAGCCTCCTCAGCTCCGTGCGGCTTTCTTCTGCTTCGGATATGAGAGCGGGCTGGGCTCAGCACTGGTGCCCTTCTCATGACAACAGTCAACCAGCTAAGTCGGCTTGGTGTGATGTCGCTGCTGCTACGCACTTTTGCTCTGAGCAACCTTCCTTTGAGCAGCCTTCTCGCAGCCACTTTGCTGAGGCACTGCTGAGTGCTAAAGGCAGTGCTGGTTTCGATGGTTGGTTGGCCCATGAGGCCGCCCTTTTGCAGCGATACCTTACCCCTCTTGCTGACGAACTTTTTCAGCTTTGGAACGAAACTCTTAGTGTGTGCAGTGCTGAGAAAGACCTACCGGGGGATCTAGCCTTCTTGCTTTGGAGTTGGAAAGTTGTGGGAATCCCGAAAAAACCGAATTTGACAGGAGGCCCATTAGTGTTGGCTGTGTCCTCCTTCGCGCGTGGCACAGGACGCTCCTCAAGCAGTGTCCGGAGCCGCCTAAAGGCCAATGGTGCGGCCGGTGCGGCCTGCAGACTTCTTTTCTGCCAACTTGGGTCACTTTGCAAAGTCTGACCTGAGCAAGGCCTTTGACCACCTTTGGCCTCCTCTCGCCGAGGGGGCTCTCACGCAGCTGGGCACTCGCCATGTGATTGCTCAGGCAGTACGACGAGCGTGGCAAGGCCCACGTTTTTGCTCCGTCGCCGGGAATTTGGGGCCGTGCCGCTTGTTCCTACGAGAGGAGTGCCACAGGGTTGCCCTTGCTCCCCCTTGGGTTTAGCTGCCACTCTGGGTCCTTGGTCTTTAGGGGTTGAGCAGTTAGATCCTCTACTTAAAACATGGGCCTTCATGGACGATCGTACAATCGGTGTTCTCAAACGAGGTAACCGTGCACTTTTGCAAGCTGCTTTACAATACACCACTAATTTTGACCAAAAGGTTGGTTTTGAGATTAATAGGGATAAGACACAAATTTTCCTTGAAGGTTCCCCGGAGCCAACCACGATGGAACATTTGGGTCTTAGGCATAACCACCCAAGTGGAGGCACCTATTACTTGACGTGATCCTTGCAAGAGGAAAGAGGTCGTTGATCGCCTTAACGTGTGCCCAGGTACAATCCAAGTACGGTCTAAACTGGCAACAGCATTCGTGCGACCATTGGAAGACTGGGGCGATGAAGTGAGCGCTCGGGTGCTTACCTACTTTCTCGCTAAGGGCCGCGTGCTGTGCATCTACAATGCCGAGAAGGGCAAGAGCGTGCTGTGTCGTCGCTTGTGGGACAGGATTCCTCGCAGATGCCGGTTGTGTTGTGGTATCCTCAAAGCCACTACGAGATGCATTTCACCTTGATGCTGCTTCAGTGCTCCCAGCGGTCCACGAGGGCATTGCTGGTTGGAAAGCATCGATGTTGCGAGGGGCTACCCAGCCCAATGACTGATGGTGGCGGGCAGGGAAAGTTGCTGGCCCTCTGCTTGCCATAAGTTAGTTGTTCCTGCCCTCAAAGTTGCTGCACGGAAGCAGCTGGCGTAAGCGCAGCGACCACGTCATGGCACTGGCGGAGGTGCAGCTTGGACTCACCCTTTAACTTACATTATGGGGCAGGGTTGCTTATCCGCCTACTGGTGACCGAGATACTAGATACCAAATTCCTGCAGTGGCAGTCCTTTGTCGTGCCAGCTTGGATGTCAGGGGCCCGTCCTTGACTTAAGTGGATGACTGCTGGAAGCGCACGTCTGCAAGGGGTTCGTATCAATGGGATACTATTCCTTAACATGTCAGTGGTGCGGGCTAGGCCGCGCAGAGTAGGGCATTTTACGAGGACGTCTTGTCGAAATGATGGAGCGCGCCCACCAACCCACGTGCATTGTTGAACAGCAACCCCTTGTCCTTCTGCATCATCATGGGTGGTGCGTCCATATGGGACGGAGGACGAGATAACGATAATCTGCCCTCACCTACGTTATCCGCGGCAATGCCAGCTCGTGCGTCGATGGTTTTGGCGCCAAGGCGCTCGCTTCTGCACTTGTCGTTTACAGCGGCATGTGGTATGACGAATTGGAGCATCTCCCTGTGTGGTGGTTTTGCGTGCTGCTCAGTATGCTCCTGTGCAGCCCGTCATGATGCCCAGGATTCCTCTGGGTGATGCGGACGTTTGTGATGATGTAAGTAAGCTTTTTGGGATGATTGCCGTGCGCAGTTTTTCCGCATGTGTGACACGGGTCATTTCGATGCTGCTTGGGAACTGCGGAGTCGCACTTTTGACAAGATTTTAATTTTGATTGATTGTGCCGCAACCTGTGAAAACCCGTTGCCGGCAGATGCCTCATCGTCGAGGCTAAATGCCATTTTGCACAGAGTGCCTTATGTCATGAGCATGTTACCAAAGGCATAAGTGTCAAACAGCTTCGCTTATACAAGACGCAGTGCCAACTGCGTACCTTGCACGACTGCCGTGTGAAGTGGTGATGCACATAATACTGCCTCCAAGGTTGTTGACACTTTCCGCATCCTCACTTCCGATGAAGTCCCAGCGCCTGACCCGCGCCCGTTGTCGCGATCTCCGTGCCTTGGAAAGTATGTTGATCCGCTGGTAGTTTTGAAGTGCTATCCAAGCGTGAGCGCGTGAAGAGCTGGTGAAGGAAGACTGGTGCCGCGACCGGTCTCGTGTTCGGAGATGGCTGCCGGGAAACATGCTGAGTGCATGCAGGCCGCGTATGAAGATGGCGTTTTGCAGCATGGCTCCAAAGCTGTGTTTGCTGCGCTGCGCACATTCTGGGTCCCCATCTACATGTTGACCGAAGAAAATGCGCATGAAGAGTCTGCCCCTTTTGCTTACGACCCTGCCTGGTCGCGTGTTGACAGTGCGGTTGACGCCGAAGATGTGTTGCAGCTTGTCCGTCAGCTTCATGCCAAGAGTGCTGCTGGCCCGGGTGGCTGGGAACCAGAGCATTACAGGCGCATGGATTCTCGCAGTGCTGGGTATCTTGCATACTTCTGAACAGCTGTGTCCGGCATTCCAAATGGCCTTCGGTGTTGTGCCATGTTCACACGGCTTTTCCCCAAAACAAGAGCGTCAGCGTGCCTGCTGTTGATAAACTCAGGCCAATCAGCGTTAGCCCACTGGCATACAGATGCTGCGTTTGGACCGTGCGGCGAATCCGCCCATGGATGGCTGAGATTGTGCATCCCAACCAGCACGGTGGTGTGCTTGGCTGATCCCCGCAAGCGATGTACCTCTCCATGCAACTTAACATCGAAATCACGAAAGCTGCTTGCCCGGAAGATGCAGCGGACATGGGCTGTCATGGTTGTACCGAGGACAGTTGGAAGTTTTTCGACACTGCATGTGTATCGAAGAGCGCAATTGCTGCTGGAAGCAGGCGTTCCTTACGACAGTGTTGCTTTGTGGCAGGCCTGGCGACAACCAGGTCAAAACCTTAAGCTTAGGCAATGTTGTTGATGAAATGAATGTTTTGCCGAGACCGGGTTTACGTCAAGGGCGCTCTCTAAGTTTACTTGCGGCCAATTTGCTCGTCTCCAGGTGGTGTGATTGCATTGTGGCGGTTGGCGCCAGTCCCAGTGCATTTGTCGATGATCGCGAGGTCGAGGCCTCATCCCCAACCATGCTGCTGCTGCAGGCTGCAGTCGATGCTAGTTGTGCCTTTACTGTTAATGTTCGACAGAAGATCGTCACTGAACTTTCTGCTGACAAAACGTTTGGTTGGCATGTGCGGTCATGTGCTCGACAGATCATGTGGGTGTGAACCTTGCATTGACAACTGGGAGTTGTTAGGTGCTCGCATGTCTGCTAAGGGCCATAATAGTTCTAAGAGTAATGCACGCAAAATGAGTGCAAAAGATGTGCTTGCTCGCATTGCAGAGTGCCGTCAAGCTTCTGTTGCTGCGTCTGCCCTGGCACGTTTCACTTGTGGTCAGGAAGCGCATCGACAGATTATCGGTTGAACCCTAAGTTGCCCCGCTTTGCTTAGTGTTTCTACCCATGCAATGTGCGTCCTGCTCTTTCCATCTTGCGCCTGCCAGTTACAAGTACCATTCGGTGCGAACCGTAGCATGTGTTTTTGGCGTTTTTTCCAAACAGTGCAGACACTCCCAGGCATTGTTATTGTCATGTAAGCTGTTTTCATGATGACCTGACGATGACCTGAAGATTTCGCTTCCCTTTGTTTTCAGTTTATTGGTTTCGTTTTCCATGGTCAGTCTTTCTCGTCCAGGTGGATTGTCAGGTTAGGAGGGAAGCACGACGGATGAATTCTGAGTCGACCGAGCGCAGTCAACAGATTTCGTATCACTCCAGACATCCCCCCGTGGCATTGTGTATAAGGACGCCTTCAATACCTTCTTCAGTGAGACCGGGGCCGGCAAGCACGTGCCACGATGCGTGATGGCTACTTGGGCATAACATTGGCAAGAATTGTGCTTTGCGCCCTTGCGACCACCAAGCGCATCAACGATGTCTTTATTGGAATCGCAGGTGGATTTGGAGCCTACGGTCGTGGATGAGGTCCGTACAGGCACGTACCGTCAGCTGTTCCACCCGGAGCAGCTCATTTCTGGAAAGGAAGTTGCCCAGCTTTCCGGTAAGCATTTTGTAGTCAAATTTCGTCGCAGAAACCAGAACCTTTGGGCATGTTTTGCAGTCATGTCGCCTTGATGTGATGCATGGGCAAAGGATGCAGCAAATAATTTCGCCCGTGGGCATTACACCATTGGCAAAGAGATTGTGGATTTGGTCTTGGACCGCATCAGGAAGCTTGCTGACAACTGCAGCCTGCTTGGAAGATCGTCGTTTTTGTGATTTCATTACTCTGTGTTCCCTCAGTCTAGTCCGAAATTTTTTCGACCATTCTGTCGCCGAGGCACAGGACTCCAAGGCTTCTGCGTCTACAACGCATGCGGCGGCGGAACCGGATCAGGTCTTGGTTGCCTCATGCTCGAGAGGCTGTCTGGGTTGCGCCAAACGGGCTTGCTTCAAATTTTCAAGTTTTAGGGCCTAAGCCCTAAGCGAAGAGCTGTCGAAGATGTTGTCGGCTTGCTAGGCTGTCCGTGGATTACGGCAAGAAGAGCAAGATCTCCTTCACCGTGTGGTGTTGCCCTCAAGTGGCTACTGCCGTGGTCGAGCCCTACAACACAGTCTTGTGCGTGCATTCCCTCCTGGAGCACACCGATGTGACCATCATGCGCCTCGACTGATCTGGCAACGGCATTTGTTCATGTTCAGCTTTTGTTGTAAGACTTTAAGCCCAAGCTACGATGATGCAAGACCCAGCCGAGGTACGACAACGAGGCATTGTATGATATTTGCCGCAGGAAGCTTGCCTCGTGTTCGGTAGGTTGCCTTCCGTGTTTCGCCACTTCAATCGTTTAGTCAGCAGGTGGTTCACGCCCACACGCACACATGCTGCTCCAGGAACCTGGACATCGAGCGACCCACGTACACCAACCTGAACCGCCTCATCGCTCAGATCATTTCAAGCTTGACCGCATCGCTGCGCTTCGATGGCGCCTTGAACGTGGATATCACGGAGTTCCAGACCAACCTGGTCCCCTACCCCCGCATCCACTTCATGTTGACGTCCTATGCCCCGGTCATCTCGGCCGAGAAGGCATACCACGAGCAGCTGTCCGTGGCGGAGATCACCATGTCCGTTTTCGAGCCGGCATCCATGATGGTTAAGTGCGACCCACGCCACTTGGCAGGACCTTGCTGTATCATTACAGCTGCCGCAGTTTGGAAGTTGGGGCTTTGGGATGGTTTTTGGTACGAAACAGGGTCAGGCAAGTAACGATCCGCGACCAAGGCCACGGCAAATACATGGCCTGCTGCATGATGTACCGTGCAGCCCTCAGGACCCTGCCAGTCAGCCTTCATGAATGAAGCTGAGGTGAATGCCTGTTTTGCGCCGTTTTGCCTTTTGCAGCAGTGCACTGCAAAAGATTATAGCAAAAAGCCTGCAGTACAAAGCAACATAGATTGCCACAGTGACCATGCTGTATTCAGCAGTGTATGCACTACACAATACAAGCGAGGCTGTGTCAGTGTGTGGTCATGTGGGGGCTGTGCACCTGTTGTTGGCTTGATTGTCTCAGGTGGCGACGTCGTGCCGAAGGACGTGAACGCGGCAGTGGCAACCATCAAGACTAAGCGCACGATCCAGTTCGTGGACTGGTGCCCCACCGGCTTCAAGTGCGGCATCAACTACCAGCCGCCGACCGTGGTGCCCGGTGGTGATTTGGCCAAGGTCATGCGTGCCTGCTGCATGTACCTAGGCAGAACTTGGTTCGGAATGGCTGCAGCTTCAGATGCAAAAGGCTTTTGTCCAGGCAAGTCATCCCTCATGGTGCGAAAGGGTATGCTATATTGTGACTTACACCTTGTGTCTGCTGAGGATCTCGAACAGCACGGCCATCGCCGAAGTCTTTTCGCGCATCGATCACAAGTTTGACCTCATGTACTCCAAGCGCGCCTTCGTCCACCACTACGTCGGAGAAGGCATGGAGGAGGGCGAATTTTCTGAGGCTCGAGAAGATTTGGCGGCATTGGAGAAGGCGAAACCCCGAAGCAACATTTTTGGGGTTTTTGACCTACTACTCATAAGTCATAAGTTAGCCTTAAAGCCAAGAGTAACGACCTTCGAGCGTTTCGGGTTGAGCAAGCTTGGCACCGGAAGGACTACGAAGAGGTTGGCATCGAAACAGCTGAGGGCGAGGGAGAGGAGGAAGGTTACGGCGATGAGTTCTGAGACCATCGCTATTGCAGCCCGAGGATCAGGAATCAAAGCGTTATTTGACACTCGAATGTTGTAAGCATCCCCCTTATGATCTTCCACCGTTCATTTGTTTCAAATTTGTCGTGTTCCTTGGGCAGTGCACGATGCCGTGTGTCAAGTGACGGGTAGAATGGTACCTGTTGCGGGCGATGCTCGGACTGTTCATACGAGATAGTGCGCAAGCTGTGGGAAGGAAAGGCCTTTCGGCACAGTTGAGGAAGTTATTTCCTCGTTGCCGATGAACTCTGTTCATGGCGATGATAGTCTATGCCTGTTTTTCCGTGGCCTATTTTATCATGATTCCTACTAGTTCCATGCTCTATGATTTTATGAGTAATTATCCGGATCCCTATATGGGAGTTTCCGAAAATAGGGGACCCTAATATAGTACCCTAAATAGCAGGATCCTTATTATAGGGACCCCAAAATAAGGTACCCCCTATTTTCGGAAACTCCCATATACACGTCCAAGTTATCCTCCCAGTGTTTGATCGGGAGCTCCTTGCCCCGTAGGTCGAAGAAACCTAAGGATCTCACGAAGAAGGTTCTCTGGGATCCATATCTACAGGCGCCCTGATCCCCGAAACCCTAACCCTAAACCCCAAACCCTAAACCCTAAACCCCAAACCCTAAACCCTAAACCCCAAACCCTAAACCCTAAACCGTGTTGTTTGGGTGTTTTCTTGGGCCCCTTGAAGCTGCTGATGCCAGGCTCCCGCCGCCATCTGCGGGCGGGTCTTCGCTCGCCGGTGCGGTGGCGGTTGCAACCTTGGCGAGTACTTAGGACCGGACACCAAACCCCAAGCCCAAGCATCGTAAACGCCAGAGAAATCTAATGTCGGTTTACCATGAGGATTTGGGATGGCGGTTGCGGCAGGATTCTGGGTTTTCCCCAAAGCAATTCTTACACCCCGACGGGGACCAAGGTCGCGGGGGAGCTGCTGCCCGAACGTCGGCATGACACCCCGCGGTCGGAAGGAGCGTCGTCGCATCTTCCTGTAGCGAGCGTCTTAACGTGTTTTCTACGAGTTGCGGGGTTTAGCTGTTTAGGGTGTAGTGGAGGGGTTTAGGGGTTTAGGGGTTGGGGTGCATAGAACGCATCATAGAAGTATATAATAAGTACGAGTGCTATCAGTATCTTCGTCACCATGACAGCACCACCATCGCATTAGCAATGCAGGACATTCACAGCAATAGTAATGTTTTTTTGGTAATGGCGCAAAGGGGACTTGACCGAGGTGTGAGTGCTTCCGGTTTTTGGGGTAGCACGTCCTAGGCTGAAGACTTATTTGATTTCAGCGCGGGTTTAAGCTTAAGGTTTGGGGTTCGAGGGTTCAGTGCGCTTGGTTTTGGTTGAAGTTCGGGGTTCGATTTGGGTCGGGGGGGTCGGGGGGGTCGGGATTCGGATAATTCGAACTTGCTTTCAGGACAGGAGGCTGCCGTGCTTCTCATCAATGGCGGACGAGACAGGTGGCGTGACTTCCGGGGGTTGATTTGATTCCGAAGTAAGAGAGGTGTCAGTGTAGTGGTTAGCCTGTACCTCGCTCAGGCCTGAAACCAGCAGCAAGGATCTCAAGCACTTAAGCTCTGACTCCAACCTCGAATTGACGAGTGCTAACCTCGGCTTCTACCAGTACCCAGACTTGCAGGCGTGGCAGTTCTAGTCCGATTGGGAAACCGACATCGTGCTAAGTGCATCGCGAAACTCAGCTTGCGGGGTAAACCCGAATCCCAAAGCCCTACAACCGCAAACTAGTCACAAGGATCTTCGCATCCTGGACAGGCTCACCAGCCCTGCGGCAGCCGAAGCATCGGCACAGCATCTTCGGAAGGTGGCACGAAGGGGATGGGGGTCGCATGTTGTATGTATGTATGTATGCATGCATGCATGTATGTCATGTACGTATGTGTTTGTGTGTGTATGCATGTATGTAGGTAGCGAGCTAGCTAGGTAGGTAGTTCGGTAGGTATGTATGTATGTATGTATGTATGTATTATGTACATATGTTTATGTATATGTTTGTTTTTGTACATGCGAATGAATGTATACGAATATGTGTATGTATACGCCATATATATATATATATATATATATATGAGAGAGAGAGAGAGGCGCCTCTAGGGTCTATTTTACGCTCTATTCTTTTCTGCATGACTAATATTATTTAAAATAATTGAAATAATTGAAATAATTGAAATAATTGAAATCAGCAGAGTTGATTTCACTTATTTCAATTATTTAAATCCGCAAAAGGGCCCAAATAATTGAAATAATTGAAATAATTGAAATCCGAAGGCTGTTCAGTGGGCCCAAGCCACCAAATCCAGGGATTTCAATAATTGAAATAATTGAAATAATTGAAATGGGGGGATTTCAATTATTTCAATTATTTAAATCCGCCAAAGGCCCCAAATAATTGAAATAATTGAAATAATTGAAATCCCCCCATTTCAATTATTTCAATTATTGAAATCCCTGGATTTGGTGGCTTGGGCCCACTGAACCTTCGGATTTCAATTATTTCAATTATTTAAATCCGCCAAAGGGCCCAAATAATTGAAATAATTGAAATCGATGGCTGTTCTGTGCCAAGCCACGAATCCCACCGATTTGAATTATTGAAATAATTGAAATAATTGAAATAATTGAAATGGGGGGATTTCAATTATTTCAATTATTTAAATCCGCCAAAGGCCCCAAATAATTGAAATAATTGAAATAATTGAAATCCCCCTCATTTCAATTATTTCAATTATTTCAACTATTTCAATTATTGAAATCCCTGGATTTGGTGGCTTGGGCCCACTGAACCTTCGGATTTCAATTATTTCAATCCGCCAAAGGGCCCAAATAATTGAAATAATTGAAATAATTGAAATCGATGGCTGTTCTGTGCCAAGCCACGAATCCCACCGATTTGAATTATTTAAATAATTGAAATAATTGAAATATTTGAAATAATTGAAATGGGGGGATTTCAATTATTTCAATTATTTAAATCCGCCAAAGGCCCCAAATAATTGAAATAATTGAAATCCCACCCATTTCAATTATTTCAATTATTTCAATTATTTAAATAATTGAAATCCTGGGGTTCTGTGGATGGGGCCCACGGGTCACCCCCCTACTATCACCAACCCACCCCACCCCTGCCCCCGTCACGGTGTGGGCCCGACCCCCCCCCCCACCCCCCCCGATCTCCCCTCCCGACCTCCTCCTCCTTATCCTCCCCCCCCTTCCTTGGCCCCTTGCCCCCTGCCCCCTCCCCCCCCTGTCCCCACGCTGCCCCCTGCACCACCTATCTCCTAATCCAGCCCCCCCCCCCTCCCTAAACCCACCGCCCCTCAACCCCCGAATCCACCTCCACCCTACCAAAGAGTTAGCGAAGATGTCATTCGACAGAACAGCCTCGCCGTCAAGATCGGTGTTGGAAATGGGAAGGGACAGCAGGCTGGCATAGGCTGGCGTTCGCTGCGCGCAGCAGCGATTGAGAGAACTCCAAACCGCCGTGTCTCACCCACCACTTCAAGGGCTAGGGATCCCACACATCTGCGGGCAAAATCTGGCGGAAGTGATCCGCCACCGAGCAAAAAGCCTGTAAATACCGCATTAAACAAAGGGTCAGGGATTTCGCACATCTGTTGGCAAAATCTGACAGAAGTACCGACTGCTCACTTCCGCCAGATTTTGCCACCAGATGTGTGAAATCCCTGGCCCTTTGTTTAATGCGGTATTTACAGGCTTTTTGCTCGGCGGCGGATCACTTCCGCCAGATTTTGCCCGCAGATGTGTGGGATCCCTGGCCGTTTTTTGAACGCGGCATTTACAGGCTTTCTGCTCGGTCGCGGCTCGCAGGGATTATACACCCCTGCCCCCACTCCACCCTCCTGCCCCCTTCATACCTCACTACCCACCCCCCTATCTCAGCCCCTTGCCTCGTACCCCATCACCACCCACCACCCACCACCTATTATCCACCACCCGGCACCCCTCACCCGCCACGCCCACCACCCACACCCTCCCCCAACCACCACACACCACCCACCACACACCACCCACCACACCACCCATCACCCACCACCCACCACCCATCACTACCCAGCACCCGCCAGCCACCACTACCCACTACCCACCACCTACTCCTCCCATCATCGTTATCACCATCCTATTATCATTTATCATCGGTTTATCACTTTATCACCCACTCCCCCAAACCCACCCCTCACCACGCCAGCACAAACCCCCTGCCCATTCACATCCCTCCCCCACCCCACCCACTACCCCACCCCCACCACGAACCCATTAGGGTCCAACAGGGCTGCGGACACCCCACCCCCTCTCCATCATCTTCATCATCTTCATCATCTTCATCATCTGCATCATCTTCATCATCTTCATCATCTCCATCATCTCCATCATCTCCATCATCTTGATCATCTTCTTCATCGTCATCATCTTCGTTGCCGGTTTCATTGGTTTTAATACCGCTCCCTCTATTCTCAAAGGTAATTTCATAGGTATTGTACGAACCATAATACAATCGATTTATCTTAACTACTATATCAAGAATAGCTTACCACATCGCATCTACATACTTTGTAACCGGGCTTAGTATAAAGGCCCCATATGAGGGATCCATAATGGGTTTCTAGAAAGTCTCTCTGTAAGGGATCTATAGTTTTTTATATAATGGGTTTCTATAAGGTCTCTACATAGAGGACTTATAAGATTTCTATAAGCAATCTGTAAGGGTTTTCCAGAAGGGCTCCATACGAGGGATCTATACAGGGCTTCCATGTGGTTTCTACAAAGGGTAAGGAATATATAGCAGTTGTCTATGAAAGCTCCATGTAAGGGATCTTGTAAAGTTTTCTACAAAGAACTCCATTTGTTGATCTATACGGGGTTTCTATAAGTTCTCTATATAGGGGATGTATAAAGTTCCTATGCGAATCTATAAAGGCTGTCTATGAGGGCTCCATACAAGGGATCTGTGAAGGGATCTATAGGATTTTTTCATGGGAATGTATACCTTCGATACGGATAATTGCGCCTTTGTTAAGATCGTGAAGACTATTAACTACGTGATATCCTTCTTGGCTAATGCTGTGATCACATCAGATCTGATATGTATAGAGATACATTGGAAGGCACATGGGAAAACAAACTGACACATTACAGGCCTTCTAATGTGTCATTATTCCTATTGAAACCCTAAAGGCAAGGAACTTATACACTGTAGGGCATCTGTATATTGGAAGGTCTCTGGGTAGTATAAATTGACGCATTACAGGCCCTCTAATGTGTCACTCCACTCCTTCCTATGGAACCTCTATTGCAATGGAACTTTTCCACTAGAAAACCCCTGGACATAATAAACTGACACACTGCAGGCCCTATAATGTGTCGCTCCACCTATCCTATTGAAACCCTACTGATAAGAAATTGATACATCGGAAAGCACTTTTTATGGACATAACAAACTGGCACATTAAACCCACTATAATGTGTATCTTCACTTCCTGGGTCCTGGACTGGGCAAATTGACATATTAACATGCCCTCTAATGTGTCACTCCATTTCTCCTACTGAAACCCTACTAACAAGGAACTTATACACTGTCAGGCCCCTGTACCTGGGCATATCAAATTGACATATTACAGGCACCCTAATGTGTCACTCCACCCACCCCGATTGACCCTCTACTGACAAGGAACTTATACACTGGAAAGTCCAGGACATAACAGATTGGCACATTACATGCCCTGTAAAGTGTTACTCCACTTCCCCTGTTCAAACTCTATTGACTTGGGCATAACGAATTAACACATTACAAGCCCTCTAATGTGTCACTTCATCCCTTCTATATTGAAAGTATATTAACAAGGAAAATCCTACTTTGGAAGGCTCCTGGACACAGCGATCTGACACATTACAGACCTCTAATGTGTTACTCCATTCCCCATGGAAACCTATTGACAAGGAACTTATACACTGAAGCGACCCTGTATATTGGAAGCCCCTGGGCAGAACAAACTGACACAATATAGACTCTCTAATGTGTCACTCCACTCCCGCCTATCGAAACTCTTTTGGCGAGGAACTTATACATTCGAAAGCCCCCAGACAGAACAAACGAACACATTACAAGCCTTTGACCTGTCACGCCCACTCATCCTACTGAAGCCCTCTTGATATGAAGCTGATACATCGGAAAGCCCTTCTGACGGACAGAAGAAACTGGCACATTGCAGGGGCTATAATGTTTCTCTTCACTTCCTGGACAGGGCGAACCAATACATTACATGCACTCCTCATATTGAAACCCTATTGACAAGGAACTAGTTTGTTCAGACCTGGCTTGCCTCAGTAGGTATATGTAACATATGTAACAACAGAATATAACAGGCAACGAGTTGTAGTAAGTGTTGCGACAGCATCATGTGATATGGATGTGTCATGCCGTATGTATTCCCATAATTTGTCATATGAGCACATCCGATTCATGAGTACCGAACCTGTCAGGTTTTGCATTCTGGCCTGTGCGTAAATTACAAACAAATTTATGCCATATTACAGCGTGCATGCTTATTACGTGATTCTTGGGTGGATATGTCGTATGCAATTACTCAAACGCTGGCAAGTCAACAATAAGTCGAATTGTGAAATATTGGGACAGGACAATTTGTCCGTGTTGCCGATATACTGCTGACAGTGCTATGCATATCTCCACGACGATACATCATTCCTGCAAGATGTATGGACTCTATACACTGAAATGTGTCATCACAACGAATGTTTATTCATCGACAGTGTTGGGATCAACACTCGATGTTCTGTTTATATAATACTCGTCTCCCTGAATGCGAATAATTTGCTATAATTACTTGATAGAAAAATATAGCCTAGTCGATCCGAAACTTTTCAGGTCGTGGCTTTGTAATGTGGGCTGTGCTTATACCCTATATTTTGCTTTCCATTATGTGCTGAAGACAACAAACCGCGGTTATATAGACCCTAAAGGTATCGGGCACATACATATATATATATCTATATATTTATGCACAGAACTTTACAGAATGTCGATGTCGCATATCTTTAGCTATGTCTGTGTATATGCCTATGTCACTGCCAGCGTCAATGTCAATGTCTGCATTTACGTCTATGTTTACCTCTTTGTCTGTGTCTATTCCTAAGTGGCGTCTATGTATATACCGGTATACATACGCACAAGCATAGATGAGCAGAATACTAGGTGTGTTTAAGCATAGTGAGCTTGGTGTTTCGGATTTAAGATTGCGAATCAATTGGTGTGCTTCCCTCAGCAGACCTCAATGACATTCCTCAAGAAGGCTCGTAACTAGTGCTGTCTCTAGAAGTGCTGTCGAAGCCAGGGTTCAGGACCCTGTGGCCGTAGATGGCCTTATCTCACCGCAGGTGCTGCGTGGTCCCGTCCGGCGTGGATCTCGGCTTCACTGACGTTCCAATTTGGACCTGACTATGCCAAGCCCGTTCCAGCGGTCTGTAGAAGAGCAATCCCTGTGCGGATACCGCGAAGCCGCATTCGTAGTGGCCCTTTATATCGGCTTGTAGTCGTGAGGCTGGAAGTCTTTCCCGACCGCGGTGCAGAGATGCTGCATGGGGAGGTGGAGCGCGAGCCTCATGAAGCGAGATGAAACTTCAACCAGCAGCGAAGGCTTCAAACAGTTGAAGCTACACCAGTTGGTTTGGACCTCAAGAGCCCACATGAAGGGAGAACAGAAGACAAGCGTCGGAAACCCGAAGTTTGGGGAATCAACAAAATCCCTGCAGCAAACTGCAAGGACCCCTAGTAAACGGCAGGGGAATTAACAAGAATCCCACAGTAAGCTTTTCGCAGATGAAGGCAGACAAGGTGACACAAGCGTCGAACACCCCCAACATGGCCACCCCAACGGTCCCAAATGAAGGGAGGCTTCGGGAGACAGAGTCACCCCACACTGGTTGGCCCCAAATGACTGCTCCTGCTTAAACTTGTTAGGACCTTTTGCTCCTCGTTCTCCAACTTTCCTGTTGTCCCGCAAGTTCCCGATTGGTTCATCATTCTTTCTCTCAAACCGTTCTATCAATTCTTCGTCTTTTCCAGCTCCTGGTTCTCGAATTTCCAGTCCCCTTCGGCTGGTTTGCTCCTCCTTCTCAGAACCGCTTCGTTGTCATATTCTCAACTCAGTTTCGAGCGGTCTCGTTGTTCTGTTTCTCAGATTGTCTTCTTGGTCGATGATCTAGTCTCTTTCGAGCGGCTTGCTCATTTCCAATAAAACAAGTCCCCTTCGACAGGCTTTCTCATCGTTATCTAGTCTGTTTGGAGCAATTTGTTTCCGTTTCTCGAATCTCTTGTGGTGTATGACGCTTGTTGCTCTTTCGACAACTGTATTGTTGTTCAATTTGTTTAGGTTTCTTTCGAGCAGCTAGCTTCCTTTCATGAAAATAGCAAGTCTTTTTCGACTTGTTTGTTCCTCTTTCTCAAAGTCTCCTCTTTGTCAAACGCTGAAGCCTCTTCTGGGCGGATCGTGCGGATTTCTCATTTTCCCTTCTTAAACTCGCGAAGCAAAGCGCTCGCAACAGACTGGAGGTTTCGACAGACAGGGGAATTTGAGAAAGACTGGCAAAGCAGCCGAGAGGGACGAGAAGGACCAAGCCGCTGGAAGGAAGACTCGAGTTTTGACAGACAGTAGAATTTGAGAAGGCTTAGCAAACCAGTCGAAAAGGACCAGAAAGTTCGAGAAGAAAGAGCAAAGCGCTTAAAAGCGCTTAGAGAGTTTGATTTTGCAGCAAGGCGAATTTGAGAATGCCTAGCAAACCCAGTCGAAAGGGACTAGAAAACTCGAGAAGAACGAGCAAACCGCTCGAAAAGAGACTGGAGAATTAAACAGGCAGCAGCATGTCTTGCTGGCTAACCAGTTCAGAAGGACTAGAAAGTTCGAGAAGCAAGAGCAAAGGGCTTACACGAGACTAGAGAATATGACAGCAAGGGAAAGTTTGAGAAAGACTAGCACACCAGTCGAGAGGGACCAGAAAGTTCGAGAGGAAGCCGCAAACCGCCCTGAAAGAGCCCACTTTTAGAGCGGTTTGCCCTTCTCCGGAAACCTCGAAATCCACAGCCCGAGGTCTCGATGCTTCATGGAGTTTCTCTCGGAGCACTTGTACCTCGCCTGTTCATGGAGGGGATTTCAGTATAGGAGTGTTTCGTGCTTGGGGGATTTCGGGTGTTGCAGGTTCAGGGTTCTGGCTTTTGGGCTTCCGTATCTTAGGGCTGTGGGGTGATTGGGGTTCTCAAACCTTATGAGGATCTAGGGTCGAATGTAGGGCTTCAGGTTTCAGACTGCTAGGTTGAGGATTCATAAGTCTTTTCGGCCTGTTGGAGCCCACCGCTTTTTCGAACTGCCGGGGTTCATTTGTTCAAAACTCTTGCGTGCAAAGGCCCTTCACTCAAAACCAAAGAGGCGCAAACCGGCAGACCCTCAATCAACCCTCAATCAACCCTACTTAGACGTTCATGGGTGGTTATAAGTGGGGTTACAAGTCCCCTTGTATGGGTTATTATTATGGTACCTTACATAACCAAGTAGACCCCAAGCTCCCGCAGGCCGTCGTAAGCCCTCTCCAAGCCCACAGGCCTAAATGGCAGATCCCACGAATCCGACACCCGACGGCGCCAAGCGCTTTGGAGGCACGGTGTTGGCCGCAAGGGCAGCGAGGAGGCCATGCGCAAGCTGGGCAGAGATCTCAGAGATGCGTATCATGTGCAACTTAACGGGGTTTGGGGTATTTAAGGCTATGGCTGAATGTTCGGTAAGGGTTGCGTTCAGTTTGGGACTGGTGCTAGAGAGTCTTGGGTTTCATGGTTTCGTTTCATGTTGCTTTGTGGAGTCCGAGATCATGAATATCTAATAGTATCCCAAAGCAGCAACAGACATCTATGTGGGAAGTTGTCAAAATAGGGGTCCCTGTTTGGGTACTCTACATAATAGGTGCCGTATTCTATTAGGGACCCGAAAATGGACCATAATTTTGACAACCACTCATGTTGACTCAGACCCAGCCTGAAGACTGGAGCGGCCAGTGGAACAGCCTGTGGGGGATCGGGGAACTGAAAAAGTAAGGTTAGATGTAGCTTTAATTGGGGCTACAAGCAATTGTAGCTGCAGCTATCTCAGTTGTTTTCCTATTTGCTATGTTCCCCAGATCCTGTATTTAGACGAATCGAACCCTACACAAAAAGCCTACTTAAGCCCCCCTCCGAAAGCCTACAACCTTAAACCCTAAGCCCTAAACCCTAAAACCCTAAGCCCTAAACCCTAAAACTTTGAGCCCTGAACCCTAAAGCTCTAAGCCCTAAGCCCTAAAACCCTTAGCTCTAAATTTGAAAATCTAAGAGCCCTAAGCCCTAAATCCCATTGTGCCCTTCCCCCCCCCCCCCCCGAGTAGGAAAGAACTCCCGAGAGAGCCCAGTAACTATTACTCAGGCTCCATTTTCCCAAGAATCTGATGCAATTCTCGAGGGGCAGAGCCTGTCGCCTTCACGGAGGATGGGTAGCAGCCTCAGCTTTATAAGCGGTCGGCAAGGGTTACTATACGGCTTTAGTTTACTATAAGGGCTTTACTATAAGGGTTACTAAAAGGCCGACTACAAGGACTACTATAAGGGTGTAGTATAGGGGTTTAGTATAAGGGCCACAGGAATTACCTATACTATTTTGAGGCTTCCTTGTTATGCTGAATGCTTTAAGGGTCTTGATAACTCAAAGGTGTAGGATTTTGCTGTATATTACAGAACAGGGGCCTCAATACAGTAACTTAAACGAATAGGATTGTGGGACATCATATTGTAGCACAGTTATATCAGGAATCCCAAGGAGTACTGTGCGCAATTGCTCAGACTTCTTTAACACTTTCGGGTCCGCGAACCCTGGAGCTAGAATCTAAGGCCGAGTCCCAAACACCAACCTGGACCCCCAAAACCACTGACCCGAGAGCAGCAAAACTGAACGGTGAGCCCTTACTGTAAGCCCCTGAGCTAGTCAAGCCCTAAATGCTAAACCCCTTATCCTGAACGCAGGGTTCGAAGCTCCACGTGCCGTCTACTGAGGCTTTGTGTGGTGCAGGAAGCAGGGATCCCGGCTGCTTTCGGCGGCTCCCTGTCATAGGAATTCAAAGGATCCCTACACCCTACGCTTTCAGTGTCTCTGTTACTTTTTTCTTTCTGATATACTTGAATGATTCCAAAACGACGGATCCCAAGTTGTAACACGTTTGGCGGCCGTGAACGGGGCTTTAGTTGGGTTTTAGACCCGCCACGGATACTACAAATGTATACTAGTAGTAGTTTTCCACAATATTCCCCTCAAACCGTGTTCTAATTTTTAAGGACCCATAGCTGTCGTGCCCTGCCGTTGAATGCATGCACGGCGGGGGCCCATGCTCATCAATTCTCTGGACTTTTCAGCACTTTTCGGTGTCTCATCAGGTCAGCGATGGCTTCCTCAATGAGATGGATTGATCCTGATTGCTGCGCCAATCCGGACCCAAAAATTACTCCAAAAAGTAGTACACCCTGCAACCCCAAAGCCGAGTGGCTTAGTTTCAACGATTACAGTGCTTGGTGCAAGCCCTGAACTCCCACTACACCCCAAACTCTAAACTCTTAAGCCGTCGAACCCTCAAGCCCTCAACGCCTGAAGCGCTGAGTAGCTCTCTCCAGCCTTGGTAATGCCTTGGCAAAAGAGCGTGCGCTGCCCTTCTGAAGCACTGGATCAGGGCGGATGCCTCCTTGAGTTGACGTGCTTTGGGAGGTGGTTCAGGGGGCCTAGCAGCCCTTGTAGGGGTTGAAGTTCAGGGGCTAGTTTTGGTTATTGGGGGGTTAAAGATTGGCTACATCAGACTCTTGTCCGCAAGAGGGCTTTAGTTGATGAAACCCGAGGGGAAGGCGTAAGTTGCAAGCAGCCTCCATCTGTTCTTCATTTCGGGCTGTTCGAGGGTTTCTCCTGCCCTCGTTTCTTCCTCCTCCGCCGTTCTTCTCCAGAATGCTGCCATTGTCTCATGCACATGATGATGAGAAGCTTTCTGATGTTCGCAACCTGCCTCCGAACTCAAGGGCTTAGTGATGTTGATTACTGTTATGATCACGATGATCATGCTGTAGCTGTGGCTATCATTGTTGTTCTTGCTCCACAATGGTCTGACACTGCCATTATCATTGTGTTCCGCAGCGTTTCGGCCTGCCGCAGCCAGTTAGGGCGGTGGCATCGGCGCAACCATGTCTGGGGCACGGCTGATCCAGGTTTATAGGGTTCCAGCTCCTGTAGGGCGAGATATACCAGTAATAGTATACAATAGCAATCATAATAATAGTGTACTATATAATAACAGTGTTCATAGTAATAGTAATCATAAGAATTGTCATGCCGTGGGTCCAGGCCTGTCGCCTTCATCACCGTCAAGCTACCTGACGGAAGCCTCGTGAAAGAGCTCAGCTTCCACCGGGCCCATTATTTGGGTTGTTTTTGGGGAGTTCGCAAAGTCATAGCCATAGTGAATATTTGTAACTTGGAGAGTTTAATTTAAGATATAGTGATATTGACTTTAAGATGTCGAAAATGATGGGCCTAGGTTTCCAGAGCAGAGATGCCGTGAACACCTTGGCAGCACTGGGAGATAGCTCAGGTCCATCTCGATGTGGACCTCAAGACAAGAATAGAGGTCTGCTGCCGAAAGCCTAAAGCGCATCATCCCAGCTTTAATCATAGGCCAGCTAGTGTTGGGAATTTGGGGTAGAATGTGCCAGGAGTTCAGATCCATTTTGGCACCAAAGCGAGTGGCTCAGCCTGTGAGCTCGGGCATTGAAAGCTGCTTGGAGCTTTAAAGCCCTATCCCAGGATCCCCCAAACTTGTAACCCGAAGGTGTGGCATCAAGCGTCACCGACAACGATTAGTTTTCGCTGGTCGGCTGCTTCAGGAGCGAATCGAGAGTGTGTGTTTACCTGCCCTCCGAAACTTGGCACCCGGAGGATGGCAGAACTCTGGAAGCCTACGGCGTAGACCGGAACAGCACGATCCATCTGCCAAGGCCTCAGGCACGTGTGTATGCACCACGCGGATCTGCCGTGATATTTGAGCAAGAAGTTTTGCTTCCTGAAGTTTTGAGGCTTCATGGACAGCAGGGTGGTGGCGATGTGCGCCCGTCTACAGCTGTCGCAGATCCATGAAAAAACCGTCGCTCCTTGTCGCCTTGATCTGCAGGGCCCGTCTGGTGTAGACATCAGCCAGATGCCTCCGCAGCTGGGAGCCCTTCAGCCTCGGACTCAGGGCTGACTGATCCTTCTCTGGGAGTGGTTCCATGGATCTTGGCATCCCGTCGCCGAGGCGGCACGTCCTCCAGAATCCTGACATCCTGCAGCAAATGCTCGAGGAGCCGTTGAGGGTTTGCATGGTAGAGCATCTGGTGGAACGTTTCTGAGCTTCTGGACGCTCCAAGCATCGCAACATTGCCTGTTGTAGGCTTCACGGATAGAGATTTGTCAAGGACTGGCTGGAGGTTGCTGAATGGTTTCGTCTCTTTTGCCCTGCCAGTCGCCGGCTATGCAGAGCCTGCTGAACGATCATGACTTCATGCGCAGCCTGCTCAAGATGGATCCCAGGCTGTCCAAGGCACCGAGAACAGCACCAAAGGGTTGTTCATGGTGCTTGTCCTGGTAAGCTTAGAGTATACGGGGCGTTTCGCAAGATGGCGGAAGCAAACATAGCGACCTTACACGGGAGGATGCTTCAAACAAGAGCTTGCCACCAGTATCCCCCAATTTTCGGGCTCCTCTGCGTAACTAAAGGGGAAACCTCAGGTTAGAGAACACCTGATCAAACCAGCTTTGGGTCGTGAGGCAAACGGTTTGGGTTCGAGTTTGGGCTTGACGCCCCCCTCGGCGATATTGGCAGTGGCACTCACATTACGGCCTGTAATCATGATGACGACGATGATGATATTGGTGGTGGTGGTGGTGGTGGTGGTGGTGGTGATTACGATCAGGTGAGCATGACGAGCAATGCAGCGATGATTGTACAGTACGCCACGACTTCGTTCTCAGCATAGGGGTTATGGTGTATAGTATGTGCTGTATTCATCAGAAGAAGGTTTGGGGGTATCTCATACTACAAGTAGACTATAATGTGCGGCTACTATCTAGTGATATAGGGGCCTACATAATTGCCAATACTATTTTGGGGGTTCCTTATTATAACAATAGTCTCATGGGCCCCAAAACCCTATTCTAATTCTAAAGGCCCCTACATTGTAGTCCCTTGTGGATCCCACATAGTAACCCTTATATACCCCTTGAAAGGAACCCCTATGCTAATTCTTAAGGCCCCGAAAGTACTCCCTTACAGCAGCCCTAAAAGTAACCTTTACAGACCCTTTGAAGGAACCCTATTCCAAATATTAAGGCCCCGATAGTACTCATTACTCGGCTCTTCCGGCCAGCTCCTCGAGACCTGCCCGGAGCTTAACCTCATGCTCCACGACCCGGAGGTCATGAAGCAGGCCGTGGGCCCTAGAGTTTAGGGCCTAAATCCTAAACCCGAGAATCATGGTAACGTTCGTAATATTCCTAGGCTCAATGCCTCTAACATGTGATCTGCAAAAGGTAGTTGGCTCCACGTTAGTAACCGCCCCTAAGCCCTCGAGGGTCGGTCCCGTACTTGGAGGGTCATGGGACTTAGTAAGTAAGGTTATAAGCACCTAAATTGGGGTTATAAGTATAGTTACCCTAACTATAACCCAGTTACTAAGTCCCATGATCCTTTAAGTACGAGCCTTGCGAGCCCAAGAACTTCAACCCTTGAACCACTCTTGCAGGCGACGGAAGCGCTGCGAAATCCAGTGCACGTCCGCCGGAGACTCAGACCCTCAGTGGCCCTGTGGATGCAGACTCTCCTTTGTTGGTCAAGGACTAACAAAGCCCTCAACGTCTAAAAATTATGGAAGCCCGAAGCACAAAAGCATAAAGTCCTCAGAGCACTGAGGCCCTACATAAAGGCCCCGAGGGCCCTAAAACCTGCAAGCCACGAACCCTACTTTCCGGGGTGTGGCCTAAGGCTTGTAAGTAGGAGGTTCTTTTCTTTTATTTCGAGAGCATAGCAGCTCCGTTTGCCAAGAAACACCCCCAAACCATAACCCGTACATTCCAAGCCTCGTAACACGCGAATTGAATTGAAGTGTTCAGGTTGCCAGTAGCTGCATTACTTTCAGCCCTACTAAGTCCCGTGTGGGACCTGGTTGATTCCAGTCGGCATCTACCCCCAAGCCCTAAACCCGACGCCCCCAAAAGCAAACACAAAACTGAACCTGAAGCAGTAGGTGCAAATCCATGAACTCTAAGATCCTGCACCCGAAAGCGGCCCTCAACCACCTTTTCTCCGCTGCAGGCGATGTCATTCGCAGCACTGATCGCTCCATGTCCCAGCTCGAGGCATGTCTCCGAATGTTGCGAGGATGGTACTTGGAGTCGGGGACTTGCGAAGTCGTCATTTTATAGAGTTATAAGTCATAAGTATCATAATCCCAATTAGCCCTGAGCCCGACATCTGAGTTTTTCTTAAGGCTTGTATAGGATTGTTTATAGGTGTTGTTGAGGGTTTTCGTGATGGTTTTAGAACAAATCCCAAAGCCTCCGCACCCCAGAGCTGTTCATCGAAAAGAAAGAACATGACTCGTTACGATTGCTACAAGGACATATGCAAAGGACTGTGCTACGATTTTGATCTGTGACCTCTACAAGGCCGTTATAGGATAATAAACCCCACAGCTGGGGTGTAGGCTTTGCAGGGTTGACACCCTGAACTCCTTAACGACTGAATCCTTAATCTGCTGCTGCAGGGGCTCGGAACTGGATCCTTCGACGTGCTGAGGCAAGGATGCTGTTGACGCCAGAAATCGATTCCAGGAAGCCGAGCCAGCATGTCGGTGGCATCGTGCTGCAAGTTCCGTCCCCAAAGACTCCAATATCCCTTAATTAGGGAATGTACCTTAAATTATAGTAGGATCCCTAATATGATTTAGGGTATATTCCTCAATTAAGGGATATTGGAGTCTCTGGGTCACCAGCCCACACGGACTGCGCCCCAGGCAGATGTGCGAGGACATCCGAAGGCCCATGCAGGACTGGAGCCAGCATCTGAATCCATCTGCCCCGTTTGCTGTGGCCGTCACTCTTGTCAGTGCGTGGGTGTGGGTATGTGTATGTTTGCATACACTCGACAACGCAACGCGCATTGAAGTTCTGGCTCTTTCCGCAGGCTATGTTTGCAGGAGGTACGATCATGAGACGGAACGCCTGATCTGTGCGGCCATGTAGTTATGCAGCCATCTGTAGAAATATGTAGATTCGCACAGACATGAGTGTACACACGCACATGTGTACGCGATACTTGCATGCGTGCTTGTACAGTATGTGTGCGCGATTGCAAGTCGGCACGTGTTTCAGGTATTTTTTAGCATGTTCTACATTCGACAGTACACAAGGAGGTGCGTGAGCTGTGCGTGATTGGGATGATCTCTCATGGCCGCTCACGCATGCAACAACATGGCCTTCGGCTTCCACAGAAAGCCCGGTGCCAGTGCACTAAACTCCTGACTTCATAGTCATAGCGAGTTCCTCGGCTGAGCCGCTGCAGCATCGGTAAAGACACCGGCTTGAGATCTTGAAATGACGAGAGAAACGCGTATCGGAATGAGAAACATCGCCTTAAGCCAGGACGAGGAGTATGTTCGACTGCTAGCGGCCGCGGAAGCCCAGAAGAAGGAGGCGGAGAAGGCCGAGACGCGGGAAGGATAGCATCGTCAGGCTTGAGGGTTTAGTGTTTGGGGTTTAAATAGCAGGTTGAGGGTTAACGGTTTGAGGTTTAATTAGGGCGTTGAGGGGTTTCGGGTTTTGGGGCTCTTAGGGGGGTTCAGTTGGGGCTTGGATTTAGGTTAGGGTTTGCGGTTTAGGTCTTCAGCTTCTGGGATTCGGGGCACAGTGGTGCCGGAAGAAGGTGAAGAAGGTTGGATCATGTTGGAATGTTCAGGTGGGTTTGGGGCCTCCTAAGATTCACCCACAGATGAAGACTCAGCATCACCACACAAGTCTCCAACGCTGAGAATGATAATCGCGAAGTATGATAAGCGTGTAGTGGCCATGAAATTGGACTCTTGCTTAAAGGATCATGGGACTTAGTAACTAGGGTTTTCATTAGGGTAACTATACTTATAACCCCAATACATTAAGATACTTATAACAAAACTTACTAAGTCCCATGATCCTCCAAGCGGGGGTTCTCCCAGCAATTTCATACTTACAAGCCTGGACCCTGCGTGAAAGAGCCTTAGACACTAAACCCTGAACTGTGGGCGGCGCATTCGGTCAACTTCTTTCTCGAAGGCAGGTTCAGGGTTCAGTGGAGTTGTGTTTTCCAGTCTTTTCTGAGCTCTGGTTGGATGAGAGCCTGGCGGATTCAAAGCAGTTACAGGTTCACGCGGATGTCGCTTGAGCGCGTAAGTCGAATAGGGTTATTGAGCTGGTCGCACGGATTGGCAGGGAGTTTCATGCGCCTGGGTTTATGGACGCGTATTGGGCACAAGGAGCACGGTTTCAGTTTGAGTTTTGAGGTTGCAATGTCGCGCTGCATCCATTTCGGGTTTTGGACGGTGAGTGAGCAAATCTCCGGTCCGCTTCAATTACTTTCAACCCTCTAAACCCGCCTTTTCTTGATTTCGACGGTTAGGGCCAGAGGGTCATAGTTTTGGGGCAGACTTGGTTATGACTCGCCTTGACGGCTTTCAATTTTAGTATGGAGGTCGGAATGGCTGCTCATAGTGTCCCCTGATTGTCCCTATACAGCTAGTTCTACGATAATCTACCGCAGACCCGATGCCTGACAGAAACGGTTGAGATCTCGAAACTCAGGCCGAGAAGTTAAAGAGCCAAAGAAAGATGTGGCCTGTCATTGTTTCGTTTGTTTTTGAAGCTTAGAGTTAAGGATTTTCAGGTTTGGGGTTTTGGGGTTGCGTGGTGTTGGGTTCAGGGTTTCGGGTTTTGGGGTGGTTTTGTGGACTTCCGGTCGAGGGCTTCGGGGCCTTTGAGGTTTTACGGTATTTGGGTGTTATGGTCCAGGGGGTCTAGAGTCTAGGGTTTATGGGATCAGGGGCGGATGAGGCTTCGAGGACTTTGATGGGCTTCTCCTTTCGGGCTTTCCGGCTTTTGAGGGTTGAAGTTTGCCTTCGGATTTTCGTGTTTACGATGCTGGGGAATCTGCAGGCATTTGGGTTCAGGTACATGTCTAATTTGGCCACCGGGTCTCGGGAATTAGGTGCTTGAAGGCTTCGGGTGTGCGCTCGAAAGGTGATCTACGGTTCAGGGTTCAGGGTTGGCGGTTTCGGGTTTGGGCTTTAGCAAGATTTAAGGCCTCGGGTTTATGGCCGTGGGTTTCGGGGAGGTTTGGGTTTGCTATTTTCTGTCACCGAAGCCACGGAACAAAGGAATCTACCGGGTCATGTACGACCACGGGTCATGTACGATTCACAGTTTAATCAGCGATCATTCTGTTGTTTAGCAACAGCCTTTTCAACGGTGCAAAGCGTGGAAGCTCTGGGGTGGAGCACTTCGCCGGCAGTGAGCACTTTGCCGGCAGTGCCAGCTTGCATCAAGATCTTGGGCATCGCCTCAAACTAATCACCGAACTAAACCGCAAGCACTACGTGCGCCACTGGCAACCCTTTAAAACGACTTGAGTTCTGTATTTTGTCGAAACATTATGCAGCCATGCCAGCCCTGTAACACCCTGCAGAGCGATACACGAGTCCACACCACTCGTTTGAAACCTTGTAAAGGGCCCGGTAAGCTTCGCAAAGCGCACCAAAAACACAAAAAACACATGCCAACCCCCACCGAAGCCTCTTTAAGACCCTGTACAAAAACACAAAAAACAGAAGCCTCTCTAGTATTTAGACACTATACCAAAACTATCCAAAAAACCCTATGAAAATCAAACCCTCTCACCCAGAGTAGAAAGCTGAATCAAAGACCCCTGGAAGCTCAAAGGCAGGGCCAAGCCGATGAGGAGGACGACGAGGGCCAAGGTCCCTCCTTGAGGGGTCGGGTTAGTTAGTTAGTTGGTTGGTAGGGTTTAGGGTTTGTCAGTTGGTTGGTTAGTTAGGTAGTTGGTTAGTTAGTTAGTGAGCTAGTCATGATTTTTGCTATTACTATTGTTCTTATTATTTTGAATACTTTAAATACCTATTATTATGATTACTTGTAGCAGTATTTCTCGGGGTTCGGATCACTGTTCTTAAACATATTGTAGTATGAGTCCTCCTGGTTATTGCCTTTGTCGCAGTGTTCATCCTGCATCGTTTCTTTGGAGCGGGGCAGGGATCTTGGGAAACTTAGTTTTTAGGTGTCTGTTGGTACTGTATAATTTTTGATTTTGCAGTTCTAGGCTTTCTGAGTTTTTCGTGCTGAAGGGTCATAAGTACCTGCCGCCTGCCGGGGTGGGAGCTGGAGTTTGGGATGTTTGCGATGTTGCGTTGACCTTCGTGTCCAAGGTTTTCGGGCCGGGTCATGGACACAGGAACTGAGAGATCAGGGTTTGGGTTCAGGTGTAGGGGATGCTGGAGTTAAGTTGAGGAGAAGAAATCCTGGGGTATGGTCAGGTCTAGAACCTGTAGCGGGGTCACTCATCGTCACAAGTTGTGGTGTTGTGAACTCTTTTGTGCAGCGCTGCTTGAAGTAGCCAATAAACATCTCCGTCAGCCGATTCGTGGGATCTATAGAATACTCGGCACAGCCGATCTGTGCAGTTCTTTTGCGTATCAGTAAGACGAAGCCGTCAAAACGTGCGATGTCGTTCCGATCAGGCGAAGATCGGACCGAGGAGGAGCTGTGTGTATCCAGCGAGAGCATGCTCGTAGCCCCTTATAGAATCCGTATAGGAGGCCCGGATTCCCAATGCCACTTTGAAGCCTGCAGAGCGTGCTCCGCAACAGCCCGGAAGTACAGAATAGCTTGTCTGGCTGCCTCGGAGGATGGAGAGAAGGAGGCCCTGGAAGAGGCATGGCAGGGCATGCACACGCGATCCTGATCTTCATGTCGCTGGGGCTATCGCAGAACTGTTGAGTGCATTGGATCTTGCTTGCTGTCAGGCACCTCCAGAGGAGGACTTCCAGCCTACTACTGGCTTTTCTAGAATGCTTGTCTGCTGTGGACAGGAGGAGGAAGAAGGTGTCGAAGCTCCTGCCTGGGTGGGCCCGCGGCTCGGTGTCGGAGGCGGACATCTTCTAAAACGCTGCGCTTTCTGTGGAAGGAACCTTCGACACCAATGCCATGGCCTCCATGATGCAGGATTTCGCTAAACTCTTGTTTGAGACAGTGATGCACCGCTGTGGCACCTGGGGATGTTACATGCGATCAATAGCGGCACAGCATTCCGCAACCATGAAAGACAGACAGGGAGCAAGCTCGAAGCACTATGCCAGTGTGCGGGTTTCAGATGCATTGCTGCAACAGCTTGTTTGGTTCGTCCTTCTGGAGTTAGCCGTGCCAGTGTTCTCCCTTGTCTCCGCCCTTTCCCTTTGATCTGTGTACTGCTTACTTGGCTTTCTCCCTTGTGTGTTGCAGGGCATGTCTCTGACGCCTCCCTGACAATGCAGCGTTTGTTGGCGATACCGGAGTCGCAGAATTGCCACGCCCTTCAAGCCAAGCAAATCAAAGCCGGTGTGTCCTGAAGAGTGATGAAAGGATCATGGGACTCAGGGTTCTCGGGTTATAATTAAGGTATATAACCCCAATTAAGGTATTGGTTGCCTCACTTACTAAGTCCCATGATCCTCCAAGTGGTTGCCGCATCCTCCACGTGGCAGAGCCTCACACTAGGCGAACGAGGCGTCAGATTCCTCAAGCCAGAGTTGATTGAATCAGGCAGGAAACAGCAAAAACCAGGGCCGGGGAAGCTGACTCCACAGACAACGCGGTGAATTACCGACTGCAAAGCAATCGTTACAGTATCAATCGGGGCTATGAGGGCTGCTTCGGGAAGCAAGTGTCAATGATTCCTCTTGTGGTAGTCTTCGTAATTAGCGTCATCATTCGTTACAAAGCTCAAGTGACATCAGGACCAGAACATGCAGTCACTCTTGGCGCAGCTGGTCCAAGCCATGCCAGGGCTAACGGCTCAGTTTCAAACGCGTCGACATCAAGAGCGTGCAGCCTTCACGTCAAGCGAGGCCGGGCATCAAAGTCCACCCCGACGATCCTTTCCTGGATCCCTCGTTTATTGGGTGCCTGCCCTACCGACACAATTGCTGCAGAGCCTAGTCCTGCGCAGCACAGCGTGAGGCAGATGTTTCACGCACAGACCATTGACTCAATGGTCAAGCTGCAAGATGCAGTTGAAAAGCTGCAGGGAGCTTACGCATGAATTCCTTTGCAAAGTATAGTAGCTTCAAGTCATGACTCCTCGAGGTCGATGACTGATGGCGCGAAAGCGAGCGCTCCAAACGCTAGAGGGAAGAAGGCATTGGACACATGGGAAAGTGCTGCGGCATTTGTCCTGAGGGCCCATGTCCGATCCCCCTCTGATGCTGTGCATGTTGCAGGGACAAGACATCAAGGATGATGGTCCGGCGTATGCAGCTCCGGCATGAGATTTGTCGTACACTGGAGTTTCAGAAGACGGGGCCCGCAGTGCAGACCGTAGTTGGTAAGATCCTTATGATACGGACCCCTTTTAAGGGGTACCCTTCGGTTTCAGAGCCCTTGCTTAGAGTCGAGTGGCGTGGCAGGATTCGCCAGCAGCGCTCAGCGGTTTGCACTACCGAAGTCCGGCCCACAACTTCAAGGAGTGCGGGCCAAAGCAGAGTTGTGGAATGTCACCTCGTCGGAAGTCTTTCTTGAGATGTTACGTCTAATCGCCTAGAAAATGCCACCAAGGTGCTTCAACATGTTCATTGCGGCTGAACAAGAAAGTCCAGAGATCAGATACAAGGGACAGCTGCAGGCCTGGATCCGGGTTCCGGCCTGGCTACCCCACACCCTAATTACCGAATCCGAAAGTCTGAAAGCCTCAAATCCCGAACCATAGGCCCTTCTGAACCTGAAATACCAGCAACCCGCACTACTGAGCTAGTCTTCTTCGCCAAGTTCCCTGAGTAGGCCCTTCCTGCACCCGGGTCCTCCACCAGGCGATGCGAAACATGGGCTTCACAGACCAGGAAGCCTGCATCCAGGCAGTTCCCTCAGCGGGGGCTTTCAGGGTAATTTGATGATGAGAATCATTTTTGTTGCATGTTACCATGCTTCATACAGTCCTACAAGTCTTACCGTTATCATCGTTGTTACTATCAGACATTATTACGTTTTGCTTTTGAGGCTTCGAGGGTCTAGGGTTTCGCTTTCGAGAAGTCTGAGGAGGTTTTGGTCTTGAGTGATTCAGAGCATAGGGTTGTGTTCCAATGCCTCTTGGACTTCGGGGTTCCAGCCTGTCGGGTTGCAGGACTTGCCGACCCATGCCGCACAGGTCAAATACGCGGCTTCATAGTAGAGTGTGTCAATGTAGTAAGACCCGTGCTGTACTAGCTAATAGCATGGGGCTTCGCAACAACAGCGGCTCCACCCAGAGACTTGCTCGGCCCCATGCAGAAAAGGTGACCTAGACCTGCATGCTGGGCTTTCAGAACCTTGGAAGGAACATCGAAACGAGAAAGATGAAAGAGATGAAAGCAGCGAGCAGATGTTCTGATGGTTCAGGAGAGCTCAGGCTCGCTAATCCCTAGACCCTTTACTCCCCAACCGAAACCCCAAACCCTAAATCCACAGACCCTTTATAAGGGATCCTTGGGATCCCTTATAAAGGAACCCTTAAAGGAAAGGAGCCCCAAACCCGAAACTGCAGAGGCCTTGCACAACTGCGATGGCAACATGAACAAGGCCGTGGAGCTCCTCATGGAGAAGGCCGACCGCTAGGCCGGAGGCCCAGGCTTTGACTTGTGGGAGATAATCGCCAGTACTATTTTTGGGGGGGTTCCTTAGTATAGTTATAATAATTCTAATAATTGCCAATACGATTTTGGGGGTTCCTTATTATAATTACAATAATTCTAATAATTACCAATACTATTTTGGGGGTTCCTTATTACAATTATGGTATCATAGGCCCCCAAACCCTATTCTAATTATTGGCTTTGGTTTGGGAGTTAGGGCTTGGGTCGTGGGGTTATCTTTGGCAAGTTTGGGGTTTGTAGGTTGGAGTCCAGATTGAAAGACGGATGTTGGATGAATGTGCATGGTGGCTGTGCCAGGATTTGACGTACAGCAAAAGTACAGTGAGGCATTAGCGGAGTTACAATACCAGACGGGGGTGGGCGAGGGGTGGGAGATGGATGGGGGACCATAGTGATGTCCGTAGCACGGCAAAAACGAGGAGCGATGTATCAGGGTACACAGCGTCAGTCTTTGGTTTCTGGAAGCCAAGAAGTTTTTGGCAAGAACGCATATACATATACATATATATATATACACACATGCACACACACACACACACCTACATGCATACAGATGTACAAATGTATGTGGAAGTACACATGTATCTATGTATATATGTATGTATGTCTGTCGTATGTATGTATGGTGTATGTACATGCATGATAGTAGCATTAACAGATGCCTGTCCAGGCGTCGACCTCGCCTGGTTGGTTTGCAAATGTACCTTCCCTCAAAGGGAAAAGCTGTTTCACCACGGCGTGAGCTGTGAGTGCGTAGTTCAGTAGGTTCGCAACAGTCATCCATGTAAACTATAGCCCGGCACCCGTCACTCCAGCTTAAAGCCTGTCACTACTTACCAGTCTGGTTATGATGAGGGCGACTACTGTTCAAGTTTATTATGATACCGGTTGTCGCTAGTGAACATAGGATTTGGGATTCATCCACTCAGCTGAATGTGGCCACATGGAGCCGATCCAGCAGCGAGTAGGATGCCGAATTGAGTTGAACTGTGCAGTCAAAAGCGCGGCCTCACTGCTGTTTGAGTCTTCTTTGTTCTGCAAGCTTTGTCGTAAAGATCTCGGATCTTGTCTCTTCGTTGCCGAGCCCAAGCAGCACTGATTCATGCCGCAGTGTCGCGCATGTGATGCCCCCTGTGCAGCCTGGCACTCAACATCGAACTTTTGACCGGACCGATCGCACCGCGTGGCCTCCTAGGCGGAACCGCAGCTGCAGAGGGCAGAGATGTCAGGGCCTCGGAAGACAACAGCTGGCTCGTAGCCGAACTTGAGATGCGGAAGGTGAGCGTTGCGGCAGACTCGTGACGCTGCTCGGCGTCGACGGCTTCGGCATCGTCCGGAGGCGACACGAGCGGAGATGCTCGCTTGATGCGGCGCAAGCGCCGAACTCAGACATCTGGATGGCCGGGGGGAGTGATAGACAATGAGTCGCGGCAGGCTAAAATGTGGTTAGGGCACATGACCTTTAGCAATGGGAAGACTCTTACCAGGTGAGACATGCGATGCACCATATGAAGGATCCCTCTCTGGTATGTTGCAACTGGCCGTTCAGAATGAGCATTCCATGTTCGCGGCCTGCGAGAAACCTGAACTTCAGTGGATAATTTTAAAGACTCACACGGCAAAACCCAATGCTTATCTCAATCTTATCAGTCTTACAGTGATTGTGCTTCTTGCTACGATCTTCGTGGCGATGGAGCCTTCGCAAGACACAGGCTCCGCCGGGTCTATGTAGGCTTCAGTATAGTGGCAGGATGAAACAAGATACAGAACGAACCGCATGCCCTTTATCAGAACATGAACTCCGACACGACAAGAGGCGTAGTGAGACAGAACACCGGATGAGGAATGCTAGGACTATCGAAACGCCATGCAGCTCGTTGTAGTCGAAGTGATAGAGATACTACGAGTAGCAGCAACAGGGCCAAAAGCAGGCGACTTGGTAGTGGCTGCTTCTGCTGCTGCCACTCCTCCTCGCCCTCCTCCTACTACTGCTACCACTACTGCTTCGACGCCGACGACTTCGAACGCTGCTATATCTTGCACACCCCAGCTACTAAGAACCGTGTTTGCAAAAGCCACAACAGCACTGGGGACCAGTTTCGCTGTAACACGGCATGGTATGTAACTCGATGCAGTTCAGATCGGTTTAGGGTTAAGGGTGTACTTCGATGCTAAGGTCCCGGCGATTCAGCCACTGGCCTGGTGCTCAGTGGCAGCCCGAAGTTCTCCTTCCCTGCCATTCAGCAGCTGAAATCCCGGTACCTTCTGCGACTGTTTTTTAAATGTGTCTCGTGCAAACATCAATCAGTCATGCTTAGAAGACTTGCTCTGAGGCTGGTAAAGTCAGACTTTAGCTGGTGCGTTTGTGTTGTCTGGTGCTGCTGTTCGCACTAGACACTAGACCAAGCTTGCCTGCAATCACGCTCATGCCGGGACTTCTACATTCTTCATAGCCTGGAGGCAAAATTAGCTTCTTGGGGAGAGGTTTAACCTTATCCAACCGCTTGATGTTCCATGTTGAGCTTTTGCAATTTTTTAAAGGCTGGTCGTTCACGTAGTTGTTGCGATCTGCAAACCTAGATCCTTAAGTCCCTAGAGCCCTGCCCTTTCCGGTTTAGCTCAGGAGACTGAGCAGCCTGTCACTGCGGCTGCATCATCCAGCAGTGCAGCGCCGAGAGGAGGTCTGGAAACTATGGCTGTATCGGGGTTTATGGTTCATAGCGCGTCGCAAGGCTTCCATCAATGGTTCCCTTTAAGGGTACAAAACATACGGCTTCGAGTTTTCAGGTGCTGTTTCGGGGCATGTGCGGCTGAAGAGGTTACACTGCAAGGGTCACTATAAGGGTCACTACACGGGATACTATAAGGTTTCTGCAAGGGCTCAGGGTTTTGGGCTTTAGTGCTTGGAGTCTTTGCGTTTCCGTTCCATGATCTCAGCATTTTGGTTTTGAGGTTAGGTTGCAGGGTTTCGGGCGTGTCAACTCTCAGCTTCGGGTTTTTTGGGTCGAAACGCAGCAACGCACAAGCTATGGACGCTCGGATGCTTGGAACGGGCTAACATGGGCTAACATTCTATAAAGTTTGCATGCTGTTTTGCAAGGGTTTCAATAAGGGCTTTGCTTCCGGTTGTTTGTTTCTTTCTTTCTGAAGACCCTAAGGCCCCGAAGGACTTGACGCTTAAAGCCCGAAACGCCGAAAGCCAACACGCCAGAGAACTAAACGACCTTGTCGTTATGTTGATGATACTGGTTTTGTTGAAGCTGATGATGGCTAGCAGTGTGTCTTGTCATGTTTCTTTCGCGATTTTGGTGACTGCTGTTTGTACTGTTCGGAACATCTTGCAGGTTAGTTGCAGGTGCAATTGTCTTTTGATTCACTGTTGTCCTCAGTAAAGGTGAGACGGAAGTGCCGCTGCAGCCAGCACCGGTGCCGGCTGTTGAGGAGGCCTCTTAGTAAGCTTCTGCAGGGCATGGCATGAGCTTCAATGGGGTCTTGGAGGATTTGCTTCCCGGACTTCAGGGTTCCTTCTGAGTTGTCTTCGGGGTACAGGGTGCGCGGACAATTCTCACAAGTTTCGGAGGTTGCGGGTTTTCGGGGTCTGAACTTCTTGGGACGGACGGCTTGAGGTTTGCACGAAAGCATTCAGTGCCTTGACATGTAATTACAGAAGCTTCTTTTCATGCACGCCTGAAATCATCAGAGGGCGAGGCTTTAAACCGAGACCGCCTTGAGCGTTCTAGACTCGAACCTTCTTCCCGCATGCAAAGACCGAGGAGACGCGCTGGCGCTTCCATCCTTTCAGCCGGCTGCGGAGCGTGCTCAGATGTAGCAGGAGGCAGCGGCCACTGCAAAAAGAGGTTTCGTCCCCCCTGCTGGATGACACGGCAGCGCCCGTCACGCCCGGCCACTTGCCTGGAATTTCTACTTGGAGGATCATGGGACTTAGTAAGTATGGTTATAAGTACCTTAATTGGGGTTATAAGTATAGCTACCCTAATCATAACCCTAGTTACTAAGTCCCATGATCCTTTAAGTAGTTGTGCCACCACAAGTTTGCTTATGCTCTTTGCCGCTTGGACAGTGAGGTGAGGCTGCCGCTCCAAGCAGCGCTCGGGCCCGGGGCACGCCGAAGGACGGCCTCAGACTCTGTACATACCAGGACCCTCCTTGTACCCTCAAATAGGGGTATAAATGGTCCCAAATAAGGGGCATTTAGGGTCGAATAGAGGGTAGATGGAGGTTCTAGGTAGGGGCCCCAAATAATTACCAATACTATTTTCGGGGGTTCCTTATTGTAATTTAATCTGGGGGCGTTCTTTTAAAATGCTGAACGTCGCCATTGGAGCACTGGGAGCCCCTATTCAAGTCATGAAGGCCCCTATATCATAGTACCCTTATAGATCCCTTATAATAGAGCCCTTTAAGGAACACAAAGGAGTCGAGCCTTCTTTCCGCGCTCCGCGTCCCTGAAGCTCTCGAGCGGCTGGCAGCAGGGAGGCTCCGGGCCCAAGGTTCTCAGCAAGTCACATGGGTGGTTGTCAAAGTTGTGGTCCCTTCTTGGGTCCCTATTATAATTCGGCACCTAATATTTCCGGTAACCAAAAAGGGACCATGATTTTGAGAACTACCCACATGGTTTTCTGGAGGATCGTATCGGGGCAACACAGAATACAGAGGAAGGGTATGCTGCAGCCTCGCAGAACGTCTTCGGTGATTGAAGCTGCCGTTACTACAGTAGCGGACTTTCCTCCCGAGTGACTGAACGAGGCTCGACGGGTACACACCGCTTGAGAAAGTCTGGCTACAGCGGGTGGCTGACAAAGCAACCGTAGCGCATCCCGTCAGCAGCAAGGGGAAGGCTGGGACCAGACAAGAACACAAGCATGAACCGCTGAAACCTATCCCTCGTTTAAGGATATTACGCTGAAGCGCTGATGCTTGAAAGCTTGTCGGGGCTCCCCGGTGTCAGGTTGAGATGTGGGTAAGGACAATCCAAGCAAGACGGTGAGTCCTTAGGCAGAAGCTGTTCGTACTGAGGCTGGTTGATGGGAGGGTTGCCATTCGTTTGATACTGACAGTGTGCTCACTAGTTGCGGTCACGCATCGCCCGAATTCCAGCGATCTTAGTGGATCTTGGCATTGCCATAGCTGCCATGCTTCAGCGCCAGCTTTGCAAATGCCGGAAGGACCGGATCCACGTTGATCCCGCAAACCATTGGGCTCGAAATGCAATCACCAGACTCAAAGCCCTGCAAGCTCTAGAGCCCTGATCCCCATGGTAACCGGCAGAACTTCTCCGCAATTGCGTGTATCTGTATGTGCCGACAGACACACACGTGCACATGTATCTCGCTGGTGCTCCCCTTAGGGTCTGACCTTGGCCAAGGCGTCAAAGTGTGAAAGCGCCGCCGGAGGGTGAAGGCTGAGGGAGTTAAGGACGTCTCTGAAAAGTCGGGGAAGCTTATTCAAGGGGTCCTTTCAACAAAGATCCTAAATTTCAGGATCTCATAAGGGGTCTGTTTTAGATTCTAGATTTTTCGACTTGAGAACATTTAGAGTTTTCGGAGGCCCGCGTGAGGTCCAAGCATCGGGGTTTCTTAGCATCACGAGTTCCATCTGGGGTTGATTTAGCGAGGACCCTACAGTGTTCGGGTCTAAATCAGGTTGGCTCGTTTACTGAAATGCCCACATCCCGAATCCACAAGCCCGCCTCCAAGCAACCTTGCCTGTGAGAGGTTGGCACGGACCGCTGGAGAGCAGCGAGGGCGGCTGGAGTTTACAGCTCTGGTACAAGTGGCGCCGAAGCTGAGCTTTCTTCGGCTTGCAGCATTGCAGTAAGCGACTCGTGGTGCTTTGGTGCTGGTTGGCACGTACTCGTCACATGTTGCGCCAGCATTTGACGGGAAACGTACTTGTCGTCGAGACGTTTGTTCGATGTTGATGCTGACAGCAGTCACGATGGTTGCAATGGAAGCGTAAAGCTGTAGTTGGTCAAAGCTTCGCGCTTCAGACTGGCTGCAGATGCCGTCTGCATTGAGGCAAGCAACCCTGAAGCCCTTCCGCAAGTCTGGACAGAGGTCTTCCACGACGGTGATCTCTACTGTCTCTCGCTTGGCCCTTCCCGGAAGCTTCCGCGAGGCAGATGTGCCTGCACAACAGCCGAATAACTGAATGCTTGCAGCGGTGACAACAGTGACAACAGAAGCTTAACAGACAACACGTGCAAAGCCGGGCTTGTCGTCGTCGTCGTCGTCCTGGTAGTAGTAGTTTTTAGTCGTCGCAATAGTTAGGAGTCGTAGTACTGTTGCTGCTCCTCTTCCTCCTGCTCCGACTGCTGCTGCTGCTGTTACTGCTGCTGCTAGTACTGCTAGCTAGGCTGTTCCCATTTTGAATGCTCGGCTGGCTATTGTCGGCCCATCTGCCTCCCACGTCTTGCGAGAACGGTTGGTCAAGCGCGGGGCACGGCCATGCGAAGACAACCTGGCCTTGCCAGGTGTTGTCGTTCTTCCGCGAGGAGCGTGGCATCAGTCGGGGTAGACACGTGCTCGTGCCTCACGGAAGTCATTCAGACAACTCTGCCGCAGCCTGCAGGCAGATCTTGCAACCAACTGGTGCTTAGCTCGGATATTTGTCCATCATGGCCTCATGCCGCCTGCTACTCCTTTTTCGGCTTTACTGCTGCTCGTGTGAGGTTGCCGTTCGTGAGTGGTGGAGACTGCTCGTTTTCCCAAGATCTTCCGGCCGCACCTGCTGGTTAAGTTTGCATACTAGACTGAGCTGGTTAGGTCCTTGTACTTGCCAACAACAGCATCCGATATGTTGTTGAAGTCTTTTTCCGTTTGGATATGTACTGCCTGGGGCTCGGCTTTTGCGGAACTCTGAGAAAACACATCTTTGCAAAGAGTGACTCAGGATTATTGTGCTGGAGGCAAGTACATATGATGTTGATTGTGATGACGAGCATGTGATAATGCCATTGAGTTTTGCATGGTGGTGGTCACACCGACATCGATGTGTACCTCGCTGATGGTGCTGCGGTTGCTACGGCTGCTGCCGATGATGATGACGAGGATAATGATGGTGAGGAGGACGATGATGATCATGATCATGGCAATGCCGCTGACGCAGCTTCATCAAGTGGTGGTGTTCATGATCTGCACTATGACTGAAGTCACACCGCGGTTTTTCTGATGGTGACAACGATCATGGCGACAATGGCAGTGATGCCGATGACGATGGCAATGGCCTTTTGCCGGGCTGCTGCTGATGATGATGATGATGGATGATGATGATGATGATGATGCTGGATGATGCTGGCGATGATGCTTCTGACGATGGCGAGGGTGAGAGTGAGGGCCAGGATGAACTCACACTTCTTTGTGCGCGAGGTGTTTGGAAGCACCAGAAGCCTTTCGCCCTCGAATCAGATGCCACACTTTGAAGCCCGCACGGAGCATCAGGCGACTTTATCGAGTTGCAGTACCCACAGCTTGATTCCCAAACCGCCAACTAATCAACTAATTTCGGTAAATAAACCTACCCACACTTCCGAAGTCCCCCCATCCTCGAAGTATGAAATCACAGAGCCAGGCCCTCCTGACCAGCGTGCGAATCAAATTGCCCCTGATCCCCTACTCCCTGCAGACGCTGGCACGCCTCGCGGGGACGTTTATGGTTCTTTTCGTTTTCTTTTTCAGGGGTGCCTTTTTTTGTCTGTGCGGTGTTGGGGGCTGAACTTCGGAAGTTCCAGGGTTCGTTTAGTCTTTAGTAGGGCTGGGTCTAGAGCGGCGGCAGATTGATGCCCAGAAAAAGCCAAAGTGGCAGGGACAGAAATCTAAAAGGATGTCTGTTGCAGCAGATCAGTACTTCTCACTCCAACTTGCTGCTGAGCCCGCATGAGAAGTTGAAGCGCGAGATGCAACACCTCGAGCTGAGCCCTAATCCCATACCTTGCTCCTCCTGCAAGATACATCGGGCTTTCATCGATGATTTCGGCGCGGCTTCCTTGCCTGGGGTGTGCATCGTTGAGTGGACGCCACTTGGCGTCATTAGCTTGGCGGTTGCAGTGGGATTGCCGCCACGTCGTACGATGGTACCACAAATCTTTTATGGTGAGGGCTGCGGAAGACGTTGAACTGAGCAGGCCTGGAGGCAAAGCAAGCTTCGAATTATTGTCATAGTCGCCGTTCAGTTTTGCAGACGTTCGTATGTGAAAGTTACACGCACATTTCCAGGTCAATGTCCTCAACAGGCTCCCCTGCCCCGGAATGGAACGTTCAATCAGAGCACCCGACATCCTGGAGCCAACAGCCGCAAACCCCGAAACACTACAGACCCACAACCCTGAACTCCAAATCCCAAAGCAAAAGGGGCGTGTAAAAAAAAAACATCCCAAAGCTGAACCCCAAAGCCTGAAGCCCCAGAGTGTGCATGACCTTCGAGGCCTGAGGAGACGGAGCAAACTGGCTTCTCAGCTTTCAGAGCGGTTAAGAGGATTAAGGTTAGGGGATCGCTGCAGGCTGGAAAGTCTGGGGTTGGGGCTTGCACTTTGGGGTTTAGGGTTCTAGGATTTGAGTCGTTGTCTGAGCTTTGGTTGAGGCTAGTTATTTTGACTGCGTCGTCACGACCAGTAGTTCTTCTCGTGCGAGTGAGGCTGCAAAACCCGTAAGAGCACTCTAAACAGCATCCTGTACAGAAACAGGTGCCTTAAAGCACACAGCTTCAAAGCCCAGACCCTGAACCCCACTGTAAACCCTGAACCCTGAAACCTAAACCCTGAACCCTGAAACCCTAAACCCTGAACCCTGAACCCTGAAACCCTAAACCCCAAACCCTGAACCCTAAACCCCAAACCCTAAACCCTGAAACTCTGAACCCTGAAACCGAAACCCTACACCCTGAACCCTGAAACCCTGAAACCCTGAGACCCTACACCCAAGTCTGAAAGGTTACTGTGGGATGCCGGTCCCTCCGAGACCGCCCCGGTCCTCGGCCATGCAGGCGCCTCCACAGAGCTGGAGAAGTTCAGGGTTCAGGGCCTTTGCTCAAGGTACCTCTTAAAGAGGTTTATGAGGATTACTATAAGGGGTACTGTAAGGGGTATTGTAGGGTTTAGTATAGGGTTCAGGGGGTTCGGGGCCTTTACTTTAAGGGTCCTTTTTAAAGGGGTCTATAAGGATTGCTATAAGGGCGATCTCAGGGGTTTAGTATAGGGGCCTTAACTAATTACCAATACGAGTTTTTGGGGGGTTTCCTTCTTATAACTATAAGTGTAAATGGCCCCAAAACCCTTTTGAACATAACTCAGGACCCTGTATATTAGGCGTTTTGGGGGGTTTTAGAATGCTACGATGATGTCTAGCATAAGTGCCAGGACTCCTCGTATGCGTCACGGCCAAGCCGCGGGATTCATACTAAAATTCTTGATAATCCCAACGTCGGGCTTCTTATGGTGTTCATCCCCATATTCAGTTCAGGCATAGAAGCCTGTAACTGCGCCTGCAAACCGACACCTGATCGTTTAAGGGAGCTTCTGTTGAATCCGGGGATGACTCTGTCAAAGTTGCTCCAGAAAAAAGTTTTCATTACAAACAAGTCTGGAGCTAAAGCCCTACCGTCAATCTATCGCCGTTCCTCCCGGATAAAGTAACTTGGAGGATTCTGCTTAGTTATAAAGGGAGTCTATAGGTACCTTAGTGTGGGTCTGAAGCAACTATTCCAGCACCGTCAAATCTGATTACTTATCAACTTGATTGCAGCCCTAGACCCGGAACCCTGAATCCGAACCCCTAAACCTTACATCCCAACTTAAAAAACCCCTATAGACCCTGAGGTGGAGAGCCCTTCTCAGCCCCAGGTAACCCTTGTGAATCGGCCCTGCCTTCCGGCTGTGTGGCAGGTCCAACTCGCAGCGACCCTTGTCTGCTCCGAACCCGACGAACAGGTAGGGAGGGAGTGGCTTCAGGGTTCATACTGTGGCATTGCTGCAAGGGTTCTATTGAGGGTTGCTTTAAAACAACAAGGGTCACACTATAAGGGTCTAAGTTCGGTTGGAGTGTTATGTGTTGTTTGGTTAAAGTAGGGTTGTTGTAGGGTTCACGGCTTTGCCAGAAATAAGATGATGGCATCGATGTCCTGAGCATGGCTAGGTGTTCTGGGGGCTTCGGAGTTGCGTTTTGGGAGCTTTGAGCAGCGGCGGGCTCCGCTTTCTGGCAGAACCGCTGCATCGTCATCATGGCTAACCAGAACGACTTCAAAGTCAACAATTGGTCGCTGCCTCGGGATACCATCTCTGCGGCTCTGTGCTCCAAGCAACGAAGCCCTTTCCATTCTGAGAACAACGAAGGGCAACGCACGCTGCCAGCAACAACGACGAAAGCTTCATAAGGGTTGTTTTGTTGGCAGTGGGTAGTCAAAGTGTCAGTGTTTGTATCGGCCTGTGCAGCGGAACGAGTCCTTTTCGTGGTTGTGGTCGTGGCTGTGGCAGTCGTCGTCGTAGTAGTAGTAGTAGTAGTAGTAGTAGTAGTAGTAGGAGCAGCGGCAGAAGCAGCAGCAGTAACAGTGGTACTGGAGGTGTTGTTGTTGTTGGTGGTGGTGGTAGTGCTAGCAGCAGTGGCAGCAGCTAAGCGCAGCAACACAAATGATAGCACGTCCAGTACCAACGGCCCAGTCAGACCACCCACGAATTCAAAACGGCATTCTGACATGCCAGTGTCCTTACCTCTGTGAGGTTGGTCCCCAATATGGCCCTGAGGAAGTTTCTTGCCATCAACTCCAGAGCGCCTCGACTGCCTTGGATTCGCATGTGCAGTTTCCTGCCCAACTTCATACATTCAGCCAGAGGTGACAAGGGCATTGACAAGAAGGGGTGCTGCGACAACAAGGGGTGATGTGGAGTCCACCCGACCTTTGGACAGCTCACTCTGAGCAAAGGGGCAAGATCGACAAGTAACGACAACATTACCCCTGGAAAGATAGGCTTTACACAGGTAGAAGGGATGTCAGGAGCTTGTAGAGTTGCACTGTTTACGCTTTCATTCAGGTACAGTTCCGGAGCTTAGGCTTAAACGTTTAAGTTGAGGAGTAGGTTTAGTGTTTGGGGTTCGGGGTCGTGCGTTGGCATGAGGAAAGGCAAACCCTGACGTTCGTAGCAGTTCTGGCGGCTGAAGTTTTAGAGTCCAGGGTTTCCGGGTTTAGGACTAGGGTTCGGGTTGAGGGGTTGTTAGGTTTGCAGGTTTTCGGATTCACGGCATGCAACTTCGGGCACAGGACTGCAAACTTGATGCAACTTCGGACAGAGGGATGTCAAGGTTTTGCAGGAGGGCGGCAGACGAGAGTACATGTCTCCGCCACGCCGAGGCCCAAGGGCCAGAAAAGGTCGCAGATCCCAAGTCAAACACTGCATGGGCAAGAGCTGCATGTAAATGCCGAACAGCCAAGGCCCGAACTTTCACATGCCTTGATCCTTAGGGTCTTCAATCTATGTGTGTACTGCTGTGCCTGCAGGGTTTCGGAAGTATTCCTTGACTGACGGGTTTTGACAGCACAGCCCGAGGTTGTGGCAAACAACCTGTCTGCGTGCCTGGAGGAGTTTTTGCTTTGGGCTTGAGGGTTTACAATTCGTGCTGGAGAGGGTCGTGCAGAGCAACGAGGTTCACGGTTTGTGGTTTATGTTGGCGGATTGAGAATTTAGAGGAATCAGTCGTGTGGTTCTTAGGATGAAGGAGCAGCTTCGCATGATTTCATTTTGGAGTCGCCAAAAGCCAGTCATGATGCACACAGTAGTATAGGGGTCTAACTAACTACCAGCACTATTGCGGGGGTTCCTTATTGTAGTTAGCATAGTATACCCCATTATTCTAATTATTGAGCTCCCTTTGGTACCATGTCGGCTCTTTGCAACAGGTTCTGAGAGCAGAAGCGGTCGTAGGATGCTCAGCTTCCAGGAGTTTGCTAGCACATTCGCCAGAACCCCATTGTAGCTATGCAGGCGCGTGTGTGTATATATATATGTATAACATATGTATATGTATATATATATATATATATACACATGTGTACATATATGTATAACATCAACCTCTGGTATAGTGATTTTCGACACTGGATAAGCCGGAGGACACACGCCCGCGAAGAGACAATCGATAACCCAACAGCCGCTGTCTGAAAGTCACGAACCCCGAACACCTGGTGTGGCAGCCGAGGCCTTAATGATTAGACTAGGGTCCCTTTAAAGGGTCTATAAGGGGGTTTCGAAAATAGGGGACCCTAATATAGTACCCTAAATACTAGGATCCTTATTATAAGGGCCCCGAAATAAGGTACCCCTATTTTCGGAAACTCCCATAAGGGCTACTATAGGGGATCTATAAGGGCAAGCCGGCGTCTGAAAGGACATGGAGCGAGTTGGGTACAGCCAGCGTATAGAGAAAGATGCCCAGGCCAGGACCGGCAGGGATACTTTCGGGGCCAAACAAAAGTTACCAATACCATTTTATTTTGGGGGTTCCTCATTATACTTACAATAGAATGGTCCCTAAAACCCTATTCTAATTATGAAGGCTCTTATAGTACCCAAGGGAGTTTCTGATGGCGCCGTACTTTCTTGTTGACAGGCTGCTGGTGCATGTGAGGATGGGGCGAAGAGCAACAACAAATGTCAGCACCGACGCCATCATCATCATCATCATCACTACCACCATGATCATCAGCCTCATCCATCATCACCATCATCACCATCACCATCATCACCATCATCACCATCACCACCATCATCATCATTATCACCATCTTCCATGAACATCATCGTCACCATCGCTGGCACTGTAACCAACACCATAGCGAGTCGAGCAGCATCAGCATCCCCATCCCCATCGCCGTATTACCATCATGTTCATCGTATTGTCGTTGGCCTTCTCAGCATACTCCTCGTCCTCTTCCTCATCACGGTCATCGTCGTGATCACCGTCCCGTAATTCACCATCTCTATCATCACCACCATCATCATGATCTGGCCTTTACAATCATGTCATGTCGAGCTGCCTCATCATCAAAGACTTCGCCGTCATCACTACGTTTCCATAGGCGCAACCCCTTCAACATTGGTTGTACAGCTCCAGCGCTACGCGGCAGGGCTTCTACGCGGCTGTGAGGCAGTCAAGGGCCAGGCTGCAGCCAAGGCACAGGACTGCTGCTGCATTTTATGGTTTAGGGTTTATGGTTTAGGGCTTAGTTTGGGGTTTAGGGTTTAGGTCTGGTGTACTTCGTGTGAATTTGTCATTGTCGCCAGGAAGTTGGGTCGAGGTTTCGGGTAGGTGGGATGTGCCGCGGCAGTTTAACATGTCAAGGTTGGGACTTTCGGCGCGAAGTCTGTCATCTAGTCATCCGGCTTGGGTGTGTTCTGAGAGTTTGAGGTTTTACCGGATTAGTTGGCAGTCTAGCATTTCGGGTTTGGGTTTCCAGTCAGGATGTTCAGCGGCCAGCTGTCAAGTACAATTTCATGAGTATAGGGGCCTAAATAATGACCTATACTATTTTTGGGGTACCTTCTTAGAATAATGGTCTAATGGGCCCTGAAACCCTCTTCTAATCATTAAGGCCCCTATACGAAATCCTCATAGTAGCCCTTATAGTAACCTTGTAGACCCTAATTATTAAGGCCCCTTTATTGTCCCAACTAAGCTGCACAGCTGGAGGCGTGAAAGTCACGATCCCTGAGCGCAAGGGTTAACGAAACAGTTGGAGCCTCAGCCTCTTGAATCTTGAAGTTTTGTGGAATCTTCCGGTTTAGGGTTTAGGGTTCAGGATTTAGGGTTCAGGATTTAGGGTTTAGGGAGCCTCTTGAAGTTTCGTCGAGCCCTGGGAGTACTGCTGAAGACGTTTCATACAGAGGGTCGGAATTGTTTGTGAGAGAACTGTTTGTAATAGCATTCCCTCACCGTCTGTTCTATAGATATATTTGATCATGTTTTTCTATTAGGAACCCCAGGACCCCATTATACGTTCTGGGTCCCTGTATTAGGGTTGTGAGGGTGCCAACACAAACGGCCCTGTGGGGATACCGTGGCGATGATGGCAGCCATGGTTTAAGTGCCCAATCTCCATCGGAATAGCGCCGATGATGACGGTGTAGGGTTCCGGGTGTAGGGTCTAGGTTCTTAAACAAAGTTGAATATGGTATAGAGTGTCCCGGTGGTGGCGGCAATGCCAGGTGTTAATGGCTTTGATGACGTTAGCATAGCGACACGGTCAGAGGCAAAGACAGTGATGCTGGCAAGCATGGAACAGCAGTGCCAAGTACGAGGATGATAGGGATGCTAAAGCGATGCTGACGACAATGAAGATGACGATTTGACGACAATGCTGATTTTGCTGGTGCTGCTGTTGCTGCTGATGCTGTTGCTGATGATGATGGTGATGAAGAAATGACAAGAAGGAGACGGCGATGTGATTACGACGAGTGATGATGATGATGATGATGATGATGTGATGATGGTGTGATGACGGTGCTGATAAGGAGTTTGGTCGTGATGACAATGACACTTGCGACGTCACAGCAGAATTGCTGGAGCTGCTGCTGCGGCGGCGGCGAGGATTGCGGCAGCCCGCCATCGTGTCTGTGCAGACAAGCATGGTGCTAGTGACAGAGACATTAGTCAAGAGATTGAGGAGGAGTGAGAAGATTTCCGTGCTTCAGACCCAGAGTAGGCAATACAGCGGCAGTGTGGCTAGGACGACATTGCCACACCTGATAACCTAAAGACGGCAGGGAGGACAAAGGTCAGGATTAGAAGAGGAAAGTAGTTACTCCAAGTAGCTATAACTTTCATGTTAGTCATCAGCACGGCAAGGAGCACTGTAAATGAACCAATCACATGGGAGCTTCGTCTTATCATCGTTGTTGTTATGCATCGCTAAGGTCAAGGTTGAGCAAGCTGTACAGATCCTTTCGTGGGGCTTGTGATGAGTCCCACGTCGCTGCTTAGGATAGGGTCAGAAGGTCCGATTCTCGGTCCTAGGCCAGATGGTCACCGCTTCGTAAGCAGTGCGACTGCTAGGCAAGGCTGCGTTGAGTGTTGATGGACCTCTACAGCGCCACCATACGAGTTAGCTGACTTACTCTGGAAAAAGAGGCTGCCCCGAGTCCGAGGAGATTTTCCCAAGGTTTCTGCTGAAAGGACACGCAGATGTACCCGACTGCACGAACGCAGCTTTGGCCCAATACAGCTTGTCTCGAGCAGCCGGACCGTGGATCAGGCACAGTCTTTGCCTCCGTAAACATTGGTCTTTGCCAGTGGTGCTTGCTACAGGGATTTGCTGCCCATTTGCTCACTTTGTTTATTTTTAAGTGAGCTTTGTCGCACTGCCTTCGTAATCGAAGTACTGATCTCCTTGTTGGCTTGTACGTCCGTCTCTGTCTAGCAGTGGTCCGCCTGTCTGTCTGCTCTATACAATTTAAATGCATGTGACGTGTGCTCTGCATGTTGTGCATGTTATGGTGTGCTATGTATGTAATGCATGTTGTGTATGTTATGTATGTCATGCCTGTTCTTCTGCAACGCATGCAATGTATGCCACAGTAGTTTATGCAACGTATGGAAGGTATGTAAATGTAATGCATGGAATGCATGTGATTCTGTGATGCATGTGCTGTATGGAGGGTATGGGATGTCTCGAATGTATGGAAGGTAGGGAGAGTTTCGAAGGTATGGAATGCATGGCAAGCATGGATGTACGGAAGGCGTCGAGCGTGTGCAGAAAGGTATGTAGTGTAGTAAGTAAGTAGCTATGTATGTACCGATGTATCAATGAAAGTATTCATGTTTGTATGTATGTGCGTGTATGTCGATCCTGCGTAGATTGCCCGGATCGCATGACGGGATTCCCCTTTGCAGCGTTTGAAGAAGAAGGACTTTATGCATGTGTATGTAGCTGTATATATGCGTGTACGTGCATGCATGTGTATGTATTTGTATGCATGTGCGATTAATTATGTATGTGGGTGTGTCTTTGTGTGTGCATGTAAGTAATGTAAGTACCCACATATATGCATTTGCATATACATATGTATATATATATATATATATATATATATATGTGTTTGTGTCTGTGTCTGTACACGCACGTATCTATGTGGTGTGTGTGTGTGTGTCTGTGTGAGTATGTCAGCACGTGCGCATATGCGATATATGTTTGCTTGTGTATGTACGTATGTCTGTAGCAGTATGCATGCATGGATGTATGGATGCATGGATGTATGGATGTATGGATGCATGGGTGATGTATTCATATGACGATGTATGGATGCATGGAAGCATGTATGTGTTTACGTATGGATGCATGCATGCATGTTTGTATGTATGGGTACATGCTATGTGTGTATGTGTATATGCTATGTATGTATGTGCATGCTATGCTATGCCATGCTATGCTGTGCTAGCATGCATGCATGCATGTAAGTATGTGTATAAGCTATGTATGCAGGTGTATATGCTATGTAAGTATGTATGTTTGTTTGCTTGCATCTATGCATCTATGCATGCTGCATGTATTTATACCTATGTTTTTTATGTGTGTAAATGTGTATGTGGTTGTACATGCATCTATTACAACAGTCTTAATGTTCAGGCACGTTTATATTCTACTGCATGAGTGCACATACGACTCACACTTAAAACCTCACCCCTTCAGGCCCTACAAAAAGCTCTCAAAACACAAAGCCGTAAGCCTCAAAGCTTAGGCTTAAGCCTATAATCCCTAAACCCCAAAACCCTAAACCCTAAACCCCTAAACCCTAAACCCTAAACCCTAAAAGGGATGGCCAGAGACGATGCTCTGACGGTTGCTGGATTCTCTGCTGACGAGCGAGAGGCTTCAACGGAGATCTCAGGCCGCCGCCTTGGGGCCCTAAGCCGGAGACGTGCCCGAAATCCTAAACCTTGAACCTGGGTAGAGGTTTTAGGGTTTAGGGATGCGAAATTTCAGGTATTAAAGCGACGGGTTTTAAGGATTAGGGTTTGTTTTTTTTTGTCACGTGGGACCATCTGTGTCCTGCAGCCGGGCTTGACGTTTCGCATGCCTGGGAGAGAGAGAGTGCGTTTGCTTCTTAAACCCGGAAGCCACAGCCTCAAGTCCTAAACCTCATCTCCCACACCCTACATAGGTTTCAGAGTTTGCGTGAAGCTCCCTGGTAGGCAAGACGTACAGCACTGCCAAAGCCGTGGAGGAGCTGCACTGGGGAGTCTTGGGCAAAGTACTGCTGAACAACACTGAACGCAGCGAACCGAGCTTTAGAGCGTTAGGTTTGCAGTCTCGGGTTTAGCGATTTGCCTAGTGCTCAGTTTTTAAATATACGCATCGGGAATAAGGCACATTTCGTCTTCCGTTCCTGTTTCCTTTTGATTCCATTGCGCTTTCGCTGAGGACAAGGCCATCCATTCTCGATTCCATTCCTGTTTGCGTGTCTTTTTTCACTCTCGTTCAGGCTTCCATTGTGGGTTCCATCATCTATTGCGTCTATTTGTGTGCATTCTGCTTGCCGTTTCTCCTCGTGCTGAATTCCGCTTCTGTGCAGGTTTGAACATGTGGTCATCTGAAACTGAATGGAACACTCCCGGGATTTCCCAGGTGTCTCACATTTCCGCGGGCGGGGGGTGGCAGTGTTTTCAGTTCCCGGTTGCGTTTGCAATGTTCCTCCCTGCCGCCTTTGCCGTTCCGGTTCCATTTGGTTTTGGTCCCCCGTCGCTTTCCGTTTCGGCTTCCGTTGCCGTGTTTGCTGCGTGCCGGCTTTTCGAAATGGACACCGAAACGGAGGAGTGGAACGGAAGTGAAGCATCCAAACCAAAAGGACGCACAAACTGAAGGAACCAGGACATCAACAGTAACGTGCTGGGGTTACTGTTGTCGGGAGAAGCCTTTACAAGTTCCCCTTTCAGTAAGCGCAATCAGCCTGTGATCTTGATGGTGGTCAGCATCATCAGATTTTCCACACGACTTGAGGCCTCTTGGCATTCTTGGTGTGGTTGTTATGTTCAGGAAGAAGAACAGTTTTTATCTCACAAATCTTCCAATGTTGCCTTGATTTGTGTTATCGAGACATTGCAGTGGCATGCACAACAATAACAGAACTCGTTCGATTACAAGTCATGTCCTGCTGTCTTTATGGCCATGTTTCACTGTCAGCTAATAAGTAGAAGGCGCTGGTCATCGCTGGTCAATTCTAGAGTTAATCTTTTACGTGGCTACTGGGTGAAGATCTCACATTCACGAAAAGCCATCAGACTCACGCCCAAATAGAAATGCTATTCCGTTATAGTCCGCTTATAGTTGACATATCAGCCTAAGGCCCCTATATCAATTCGAATCTAGGGAGTAGCCCTTGTAGCCCCCCTCACAAGAGGCGGCCCCCTCTTAGCTGTAGAAGGATTTCTCTGTAAATGCGAGGACCAGCTACATGAGGCGGTGATGGCGCGTCTGGAGGTGCCTTCCAGTAACCCGAGGTCCTTGCTCGGGGTTTACACTGAACCCGTTGGGGTGTAGGGTCTAGGGACCGGTTTAGTCTTTTTTGTGAAGACTGGCGCGTTGCTTAGGGTCCAACTGAACGCATAACACCAGGAATGCATTACTGACAGGAGCCAAATGGCAGCAGCAATGACATTCCTAGCAACGGCTAGAACAGCCTTACTCGCCGCGGTGGGACAAGAGACATCTTGTTGAAC